TAATATCTATACATACTATATCAATATTATATCATGTGATGTAATGGTGTAAGTACTAAGTGGTGTAAGTGGTATACGAGGTCATATACCGTTTTTAAATAGTATATTTGCGGGGTGATTTTATTTTCTATCATGTCTAATTCACCACAACCCTGCAAAGATATCATTGTCAACCTCGACCACAATAACACAATAATAAAATAATAACGCTGCAGTAATAATATATTATTATACTGTACACGATCCATAAAATATGCATTATGCGGTAATACCATTAGATAGTAAATACCGATTTAATATTTTACCAAAACTACATATAGATACATTCAAATATACGTAGGCACCTAAGTACAATAAATTATAAATAAGCATAGTAAGAGGAGAAAGATGCAATATATGCATATAATATGTAAATATGTACCTAATTGACGTTATATCTATTGAGAACCTAGTGTGAAGAATATGGTCGTACATCCATATAAGTGTATATATAGGGACTGATGTGCATCCTACCAGCTACCCTTTCGAACAGATCGGCACACCCAACGATCTTCGACAAACGCGGGTGTGAGGTGATGCTTTTTTTAGGTCCGGTGCTGATATTTGATATTAATATTTAGAACTCGAATCAAGACTCGTTTTGCCGACATTTTGTCTCACTGCACAACACTATAAGTATACAACACATAATACTCACTCAATCCACGGACGCGGAAACGATCCAATCGATTATTGTCGTTAATCGGACGGCCGTGAGATGGGAGGCAATGACCGTTTGTAAGACTGCGATGCGCCGATGCCAACGAAAAATATTATATCGCGGTTACCCGCTAACCACGTAAAATAACGTATCGATACCTATATGGCTATATAACAATATAATGGAATATTGGTATGGAATCCGCCCGATTGGTATGATGGTCGCCTCGGCAGAGGCTTTGCCGCGTACGTTTTTATAAATCATAGAATCTCGCTATATGGAATTCGCAAAAGGGGGTGTTTTAAGACTTGTATAGTTAAATCAAAAATTAAATTGATCTGCAAAACTACTGACCCAACGAGGATCTAAAGCCACGAAGTCCGACCGCTGTATTTATATTTTCGGTGTGTTATTCTTATATAAAAAGATATTCGCGTCCGTTGGTTCATTTGATAGGTATTTATTTATTTTTTTCATTTTTCATATCCACCTCCGTGTATTGAGAATGTAAGTTTTGAAGTACTACAGAATTTCAGCCTTGAATTCGATCCATATAAGTTATAACCAATCGTTTTCACGTCGCTATTTGCAAGTGCGTTAGTATACTCAGTGGCGTATCCAGGGGGGGGGGTTTGGGGGTTGTAACCCCCCCCCCGAAAATTGTTAAATTATAACAACGTTATCATTAATAAATCATTTTAAGATAAAATTCCACAAAAATAAATTATAACCCCTCCCGAAAAAAAATTCTGGATACGCTACTGAGTATACTTGTTATATAAAAAAGCATCTATACCATAAGGGGAAAACGAGTCTTGATAACTACCAGCCCGACGAAGTGTGCCACATATTTCCAGAGGAAAAATCCACGACTGAGACGGTAGGATACTCAAAGTCACATGGTCCTCTATAACATAGAGTCTATAATCATTCTGAGGTTTTCAATGACAGTTTCATCCACTTCCACGACCGTAATTTAATTGTTGTATTTATGTATATTGTTTAATTATAAAATGGGTAGGTTTGGAAAATTCGAGGAAAACCTTATTAAAATAATTGCGAGCTTATCGTGCTGTATGATGAATTTTAACACAACATTTGTATGTAGGTATAAGTAGTTTAGTTTAATGTATTACATAATGTATGTAAGTATGCAAACTCTTAACACTAATAAACTAATATAATGTATAACTGTAATTTAGGTACGACAGTGTGTCCGATGTGGCGATGTATCATTTGGTTCTCGGCATAGCGGGATCGAATGTTGTCGATGTCTTTATATTCTGACAATTGGCGAATAAAAAAAGTTTAATTATGAGTGTTGAACGACTGTCTTCATCAAACAGGCACATGCCCCAAATCCCAGGACGCAGTGTGTAAAATTTATTTACCACAATTTATTTGCAATGAACCATAGTGTTTATTATTATTTATTAATGAAAAAAAATAAAAGTATAGATTATATAGATAAGTGGAAACAGATTAGAGGAAAGTGGACACTATTGCTATTCCTATATAAGTAACACCTCTGAAAATAGTTAATATCGTTTAAAAACACTATTGGCTTAATTCTTGTATATATGTTTATGGAAATTCATTTTTAGCCTTCTAGTGTTTGGGAGCATATAGCTAGGACACCTGGGAGAGGGAGATAAAAGCAATATCTTGTGATTTTAGAGTTTGGGAAATCTTTTTCAATAGTAATGAATTAGATTTTTTTAGTGTGGCCAGATGTAGATCGTTGCAGTACTTACGGATAACGTTAATAAATAGTAGAGAAATGTATCCTGCAGTAGGCCTACGCTCATCGGTCATTATAATGACAGAAATTGGGCTCGACAGCGGAGAAGGAAAATCTTATATACGAGTATTATTGTGATGGGTACTTCAGGATTCTATACACCTAATTTTCTAAACCCGCATGTATGATGAAGGCCTTGTATTTACAAGACGAAGTTAAGCGTGAACACGACAAAATAAAATATATAATCATAACATAATAATATCGTTATAAAGAGCGTGGGTTTGAGTGTCCTAAAAAACAAGAAAAATATCTGATACGACTTAGTGCAATAATAATATTTTAAAATTAAAAAAATTCCATTTAAAATGTTGAACAAAAATAATATATTATTGTATTATTTAAATTTAAGAAATTTGACGTTATCGCGATGTATACGAGTCGTAAATAAAACGACCTACACTATATTATACTCTACTGTCGTATGTGTTATTTCATCTGCTGGTTCGTAATGAGAATTTCGTTTGTGACTTCGCGAAACTGTTGTTTTATTTGCATTTGTCTGTTAGGTACCTACTAGGTATACATTGGTAAAAACATGCGTGATAAAAATAATATGACTAAACGACATAAATACCAATTTGTACCGAATTACTATCCGGTCTTATAAAATACATGAAAAATATACTCAAATATTGAAAAACCCCTAAAAATTGCAAAATGAACATTATAGTTTTGAAAAAATGCACTACAAAAGTTTCTTTTTCAAGATTATTGATGTGCGAAACAAATTTTCGTGCTAGGAAAACAACGCTCTGAGACATTCGCAAAACAGTGCGATTCGCATTGAAGTCCGCACCCTAAATACAAGTAAATAGTCGTAAGCAGGCGTATGTATCGCCGAAATGTCTCTCTACACCGTAAACCGTAACACCGCAATGCACGTATGGACGTCACTCAGCGTCGGACAAAAATCGTTTGAGATTCCACTCGCATTCGTGACGTGAAAAAAAATACACTTGTGGGTCGGATTCCTAGTCGACGCGTACGGTTTAATATCATAAAGATACGTATTATGTAGACCTGGTCCGGAGGCGGACAAAAATAAAGTATTTTCACGGAACGATAAGTTTGGCGCCACGCGCGGCCCCGACTGTAAGGCACGGCACCTGTAAGATGCCTACCGCCACAATGATAAAAACTATTAGGTACCCATACGACAACATTACAATATTATTGTGACATATTAGGTATATATTATTAATACGATTGATTGATTTTACTGTAAGAATATACTACCTATACGTTATAAACTATAATAGAATATTATATTACACATTTTTTTTTAATTTAAAGCTATGAACATTACCTACGAGTTGAATAGTTAAAAATTAACCTAAAAAGTAATTTTATTTCAACTTTTTAACCCAAATAGTTGCGTTAAGGTTTCGTTCAATTTAACTACCAACTTGAATTTACCAACTCCGCTGTTTTTTAATTATCGGGAAATCGGCGAATTCAATTTTCATTTTAAGAACTAAAGTTAATTTATTTTGTCTTCAATTTCATTCCATTACATATTTCAATCGATTCAATAAATTTCATGTAAAAATATATATTTCGGGCATTTGAGATTTGGGAGGGCTGAATATTTTGATGTTGAGATGAAATTTGTTTCATATATTTCAATGTGGTGTAAAATCTTCAGGTTTTTTTGTGGAGGCTAATCAGTGGTTAGGGGGCTTACCCCGTTTTTTACACCTATGATTTCGGGCGACGTTGTGAGCAAAAAAGACATCAACTTTATTTTAACTTCATACAAAATTGTGTAATCAAAGTTAACCGAGTTGACCAAAAATTAAAATATTAACTTTTGAATTTTCCTCATTACTGTGGATATTATAACCTGACCGGTTCGAGTTAAAAAAAAAAAATAATTTAAAAATATTCCAGGCAGGTATAGGTCGTCGTGGACAGTATATTTTATTTTGTTGTCGTGATGTGCTTGCGCAACGCAAAACCCGCAGGACGCGTGTCCAACGGAGCGACTTTCATTGGCCGGCGTCGCGTTCTCAAAGGGCGACGGGGAAATCGGTCGCCCGGAATTGTGTATACCTATCTGTGTAATATTAAAATATATTGTTATTGTTGTGTTGTGCACGCGAACGTCCGGCGCGCGCGGCGGTTAACGAATGACGATAATGCGCGGCCGAATGCGTCGCGGTGTGAACGCCGCCTGTACGCCGGTCACGTAGGCCAAGTGCCCGATGCCGCCGCCGCCGCCTATATATAAGACCCGGTGCTGAGCTGCACTCGGTCCTTTACACTGCAAACGACGACCGCGACCGATACGCACTCGCCCGACACACCGTCTACGTTTATATACACATAACCAGGTTACTGCACCACGCCGCGCTTTTCGAACACCGTTCTTGAGACGCTTTTCCGGCGACGATTTCGTTCCCCACGTCTATCGTTTCTGCGTCGTCCAGTTTGTCGTCCGTCGACCGTTTCAAAAAGTATATCAATACATCGATCACGACGACCACGACCACGACGATGTGCGGAACGGCCAGCCACAAGTCGGAACACGGACACGGTCATCCTCACCACTTGTTCAGAGTGCCGACAGCCCACGTAGCCGCCTACGAGTATTTGGTCAAAGAGAACAAGACGAGCGACCCGAAGAAACCCGGCGACGCGCTGACCGCCTTCAGCAGAAGCACCTTCGACAAGTGCTCGTCGTTCTTCGGAGAGTTAAAGAATTCGCCGGCTTACAAGTGAGCATATTATAGTACCTATACTAATGCAATATAAATTATAATAATTAATCATATAGTAATAATAACATGTCGAAAACCTATTTACGATGTCTTTAAGTAGGTAGTATAGAAATTAGAAACCCTCAAATAATATGTCTGCCCGTCTGTCTCTTGATTCAATATAGGGACACTGGGTCAGGCACGAGGACACGATATATACCTAAAGGTATTCAAAATATAATATATTATGTGTGTTTATAACGATTAAAAATAATTGGAAAAAGGATCTGCCGACAAGACACTAATTATTATTATTTATTTATTATGTAGGTGTGTGCGTATGTAGGTGTGTTTGAAAATTATTAAAAATTATTTAATATAATATTATTATGTTTAATGATGGAATAGTGCAGGACCACCGCCGTGCCGTGTCGGTAATCCGTGAAAGACCGTGAAAATGTGTACATTATCACTCGTGAAGTGTGCAGAAAAATATTATGTACCTTCCTAGTTTTATGGGATATGATGTACCTACCTATACTAATATTTCAGTATTCCACCGATATTGCGTCCCCCTTGTCTATGACTCGAAAGACTTTGTGGATGTATGGTCAGGTTAACCGACCAACCTATTCTGACTTCTGTCCGTGTCCGAATTAACCATTATGATTCCTGTAGGTACGTATTTTATTGACCGGCCTCTTCGGAGTTCTCGGAAAATCGCCGTCTACTCATTTTTCAATTATTATTATTCATCGTACCTATATAAACGATCCATTAAAATCATATTACTATCCACTCGCGGGCTGTTCAAACTTGTTTAGCCTGTTTAACTCGTGTAGGTACATTGAGTCGCAACATAATAATTAAGCTTGCTAATATGTACAATAACATAACGATGTGCGTGCTTAGACATGGTCTGTAGTGCGTGAATCGATTTATTTATATTTTATACAGTGGTATTTTCGTATGATACATTTTCGCGTGTATACGGCGGTCTAGACGGTTGTCAGAGTATTCTGGACGTTGCGATTCTTCGTGATAAAAATTTGAAATACACTAACGACGTTCAGAAACCAGATGTGAGATAGAAAGTTGTATCCAACCGAGCACAGGCCAATATATATGGAGTATAACAATATGCATATGCGGACATATATCTGAAAGGAAATTAGACACATGTCATGGACATTTACATTATAATAATTTGTGTACTTTTCGGGGTCTCAAAGGTATTATAGTGCGGTGTTTCTGAACAGCGTTGAGCATAATATTATATTTCGTATCATATATTGTATTACACCTTTGTTTCCATTATATAGGTACTACATGCGCCTATATTGTGCGCAACATCAATTTCGTACACACATATTTATCAAAGAAAAATGTTTGAACACGAATTTAATTAACATATTTTTGTGTCGTATTCTGTCAGCTGAGATATTTAGACAAATTCGTAACCAAGTAGCCATTATAATGACGTAGGTTGTAGGTAGCTTCCACACGAACCATTTCATAATAATAATTCACCGCACAATAAACGACATTGAAAATCGTCACATTTATAACACACGCAAATATGTTTTTATTTATTTGAAGGAATTTAGAACGAAATCTGTTGATACTTGACTCTTTCAAAACAACACGATATCTCGTACTTTACAATGGTAATTGATGTGGCCATGTAGGTAGTATTCAAACATTTGTCCTTTAAAAGTAAGACCAAAAAATATTTGACAGCGGCGAAGTGTAATAGTTTACTAATATTGCGATTGATGATTTTTAAAATATTACTCTTTAGTCATTAATATGCAAACTTCAAATACGTAATAAATACTATTTTGAAACGATATGGTTTAATTTCTTTAAACTAATTTTGCCTTGAACTGCCTTGACTTAAAATTAGACTGAATGATTCAATAATATTATTGTTAATAAATCCTCTAAACAAAAATAATTGCATTAATCATATTCGTCATACATATACCTACATATTATACATATATTACATGTACGCTTAGTGCTTATATTCAAAGTTTTAACTGGCAACAGGCAACAGTCGATCAAAACATCCGATGTTTATAATGGATGGACTTCGAGGTCACATGTACCAAAAATATTGGCAGGGTGGGTGGAGAAAGGGTAAAATACTAAGTGACAACTTAACAGTTCCAATTAGTAAAATTTGTTCCAAAAAGCTATGATGGGTATGAAATACATTTTTGAAGAGAGGAAGAAAATTAAATTTGCTATCAACTCGAGAATTTCGTTGTGAAACAAATTATTTTCGTAGGCTAAAAATCATTAAGCCATTAGTTATTAACATTCAGTAATACCAACATTTTAAGTCTGACCGAAAAATATTTTAGCTATAAATTATAAATTGTAAAAGTAAATTATTTACTTATTCATGTTACACAACAACAAAAAATATTTCTAAATTAAAAAGCAATAACTATTTTATAATTACTATAATGTGTTCGAAATTAGTGTAGATAATAAAAGCACCGTTTAAATGTAATGCTTATGTTATAAAAAGACACTTCCCGTATTTTATTCTTAATAAACATTATACTTTAAATACTATATAATATATATGTTATTATAATATACCTAACTAATTTTATTTGATCAATAATTATTTTTAAAATTTACACTTGCCCATTTCCAAACAGTGTTATAATAATAAAGTACGAAATAACTATTAAATTTGCCGTACACCTCGTTATTTATTTGATTTGAAGAATATTTATTTTTAAAATGTATTTGCGGACCGTGGTACTTTTGAAAGCATTACCGCGAGAGTGCACGTGACGCAAAATTAACCAAGCTTCAAAGTGAAACTTTTATTAATAATACTCATAGTTAAATGCCAATTAAAACAAAAATATAAAACATCTGCCGAGTTGGTTTCTACGAGCCAAATTTTCGACATTTTTCGAAATTATTTAAAAATATAGCATATATACGGTTTCTTCAAAGTTCAATATTAGTATCGATAATAAAGAAAATTGCTTAAATTTCTGAAAATAGCTTATTATTTACAATATATTATAATGTGCAGTGCATGCAAGGAAAAATATATTTTATAGCTATAATACAGCTGGTACCTTGCATAGGTACTATAGGTGGCAATAGAAACACATTTCATTTTTTTTTTTTTTTTAAACAATCCATCTATATCCATAATATTATAATCATAAAGAAATAAAAAATACTATGTATATTAAATAATATGGATACAAATAAAACGGGAAGTAATAAACATAAACAGAACAAACTAAAGAATGAATCCGCGTCGTTGGTAAATTAATATTACTGGATATTTTTACGTTGAACCTGTTCAACAAGACGTAATAAAATTACACATTTCCTCACAGCTGATGATGATGGGCAGACGGACACATATTATAATATAATGACGTGCGAAAAAAAATCACATAAAAATAATACACAATAATAATTGTATGTATAATTATTATATCACTATAATAATAATTTATACCTACCAATTATTGGCGTTACAATTTGCCCAATGTTGTGTAGTAGGTACCTGCTACCGCATATACTGTTGTAGTGATTAATCGTTTATATCACCGAGTTCCGTGTCGAATCAGCCGTATTGTAGTTATTATTATTATTTTAATAATCATAATATTATATGATTGTTTTTCATCTCTCAGGGTACTGTTCTTCACGCAACCTGCGCACGTGATAATGGCGTTGGCCGTCATTCTGGTGGCCGCGTCCATGTTGCCCGGCGACATGAAGAAAGCGTCAAACGCCAACGGTGAAAGCGTCAAGCCCAGGACTTTCGTCAACTTCGTCTACCTGGCCGCTTTCTGCACGCACGTGGGCGCCCAGTTCTGGATGACATTCATTTCCGGTGAGTAGAACAAGTCGCAGCCCCCCTCCTCCCCAAGATGGCCACCGCATATAAGAACGAAAACAAAACATTGCCCGACGAAAAAAAAAAATTCTAATCCTCGGCGATAAATGTTATAATAGCAATAAAGGTGGCACGTGTGCGCAGGCGTATGTCATATTACGAACACTTCGCGTATAATCATAATAATAAATAATAATTAACAATAATGGGTAAATATTATATTATAGCCGCGACCGGTACGTAAGTCACGTGCGACTTTCGTGGGTCGTGCGTGAAAAAAAGTCGATCGTGATTGTGATTTGATTTTCTAACACCCGTTTCCCTCCGCCCGAATATCAATACATATGCACTTATATAGATTATAGTTATCATTATAATATAATATTCTATAATGATTATGTTATACCGACGAAACTTGAATTCCAAAACCGCACTTCCGCATTCGCTGCAGGTTTAATGCTTGGACGAAGTGTAGGTAATTTTTAACAATATTTATACCTGTTCAGATTTATTGTCACATCAAACGCTAAGGTATATACCTACATAACAATATATACTCTAATAACGCCCGTTTTGTACACAGGTATTAGGTATAATGATTAAGACGGAACTATAATATGCGCTCGACCTATATCGTATAAGACTGTCGGCAATGCAATTTTCTGTACAGACACGTGTAAATCGTATGCGTCTAGAACTAAACAAGTTTAAATAATATTCAACTATCGTAATTCAAGTGCATCGTTAAAACATTATAATATTATAAAATAGTGTGTAATGTATTAAAGTCGTGAATTATTTTTTTTTCCGTTCCCCTTGAACTTTGAACCGCGGTATACCTATACTATATGAGAGTGCACTCCTGGTTATATATATATTATGATATTTATAACAATATATCTTGACCAAAATGTATAGATATAGGTGCTTATATGTGCACAAAGTTTTATAAATATAGTCGGCCATATACACTCTCGAAAATTATGTTTGATATTTTGAGTCTTAAAAATAACTATGTGCTTACGCGTGCAATAGTACCTACGAGATGACTTATAGGACGGCGATTCGCTTTTTGGGCATGCGAAGCATTAGTTACATACGATGACTATTTTCCCCTTGTTTACGAGGTTTTTGGCAGATAATACGAGCAACGAGACGAGAAGTCATTATAAATTTAGCCGCTTAATTTATTGGCACCGGAATCGGTATACCTACATAGTCGTGGTGTTCGTTTTTCAGTTTTCGACTGTTATACGACTTACGTGAAAGTGTGAAGCGTGATAATCAACAAGTGAACCCTGAGCCATTGTTTCAGACAACAACAATTTGACACATTTTGGAACCTTAGGTATATCATTATAGCTCCTAACCGACATGGAATACGGATGGTACAAGCGTATTATATAGAAATATATAATATTTATGTATGGATTATGGAATATATTTCGATAAACCCATCAAACATTGCTTAATTTATTATGTCAACGAGGTACCTATGTTTATTTTATCTCCATGAGTCCATGACTCCATAGACTTGAGATATATTTGGGCCCGGCGATTAATATTGCTCAAGTCTAAATTTCCAATATGTTTTATTTTTGTAGAATAAGTTAACTATAAAGTGATACATCTCATCTCAGAACGCCATCCTAAATAATATGACGTAGGTATACTAAATGTCAAAATTAATTTACGGCAATCATATATTAATATATTATTATTGAATATAAATTAATTGTATGTTTTGTCTTTATAATAATAATAAATGTATAAAATAATTAAATTTCCTTATACGTCCTTATTATAATAAATTTGTAAAATAATTTTTACTAAATATTTAAGTCTAAATAGAATAAAGTTAAAGCTTGAAATGGCTTTCCACTATTCACGGAATACCCTGCAACCTACCTGCTCTATATATACTTAACAAAGCACTGAGTATTATTTATTTATTTGTTTGTTTTCATTTCATCAGGGTTGAGCTTGTACTTCAACTTGGCCAGACACGCTTTCGGTGACGTCCAAAAGATTCTGTTTCCCAAATACTTTTCGCTTAACAGTCTGCTAAGCGCCATCACGCTCATCCAATTCGGCAAGATGCACGTCGCTGCCAACGTGTGGGACGTACACACGTATTTACAGGTATACACAATTTACAAATATAATAATAGCAATTTAGAATAGTAATATATATTAGTACTGAAAACACGTAGGCACATTCGTATAATATATTGGTAGGTCTATAGTATCTATAGTATACCTATATTATAGTAAACACGAATGTAGCGAACCGAGTTTAGGCATACTGTGGTTACGTCCAAATCATTTGTCATTAAGTCATTAATCATAAAGTCTGAACACTGCACCTATACATTTAATACCACCAATATCGTGCTCCTCAGGACTTTCCGTGTATACACGCACTTATGTAGGTAGGTCCTGGGTACATTATAATATTTTATAACATGACTGGCCTTAAAAAATAGAAAATATACTCTACATAGGTAGTATAATATATTATATATATCGGTAACCAGATTGTTATATAGATTATGTTCTGGACAAATCCTCGCCTGGTTCTAGATGTACACGTACGCATTTTATTTAGGTGGGCTCGACAACAATATAGTACACAATGGTATATTTAAAGTATACAATATCATCAAATAAGAATAAATCCGGTATGTATACTTACGGCTCCCTGTGGGGCAGGGTGAGGGCACATCGTCGACAGTGATATATTGTAATGACGTGTATTGTTGACTGTTGTAAAAGTGGATTTTTCTCAAGGCAAGACATCTTTATCTCTATGATCTCTGTAAGGGGATATAGGCACCTAATACCTATAATTGTATAGGTATACAATTTTGTTTTGTACTCGGCAAGTCGGGAACCATCATATTATCTTTGTTTATCCGACGCATAAATATATTATATTATGATATATTTGTATACTGCGTTACTCTTGAACGAGTAATATAACCCGTCACAAGAATAATAAATTATCGCTATATGTGTTCACGTTTGACTGTCAAGTCGGTTCTGTCAACTTGTTAAGTATTATAGTTGAATAATACCTCAATAAACCTTTTAGACTCAGTTTCAATGTATATCTTCAATACCATATCAAATGAAATTTTATACTTAACATATGCATGTGCATGTATATGATTTACTCGGGACATATACATGACTTGACAGCCTCGCAGCCATATCCATATACAAGTTATATTCATATTCATGTTGTAACTCGCAGGGTGGGCGTAGGCGTTTACGTTCAGTCTGAATTCGAAAGCAGTTTTTCAGAAATACGATCATGCCGTTATCGTAATATCTAGGGAATGCGTAAAAAAGGCAAGATGTAATAAATAAATAAATATGGTATAAGTACAGTCGAGGCGAGCTCATAAAAGAAAAAAATTATAAAATGAAATGCTATATTACCTTTCGACTTTCAAATATAATAACAGCCCCCGTGTAAATATTCATGTATTGTAATAACAATAAACGTCCTACAGCTTTTATATAAACCAACAACAAGTACCTACCTAATACAATTTAATGTGTTAAGAAAAAGAAGGGTCCAAATTATAGCTTGGGACATAAAACGACGGAGTGCCGAGTGATTGGGTTTTGCAATAAAAAAATAAGCATTGGCATGTGGCAAATTAATTTCATATAATAATGTAGGAGAATAACGATTTTTCCATCAAGTACCTACCTTTTCAACTTCGTGACAACGGTCGGCTAAAGTAACTAATCGTCAAAGTGCCGACCCGGGAGAGAAATCATGGGGCACACGTAGCTGGCAAACCTCAAAACTGTACGTTGAACTCTTTTATATTCAATATATCAACTTATTACCTATAGGTACTACAATCGATATGAGTAGGAACTTATATTATACATAATATAATATATAAACCAAATAGGACCTTTCAAAATAACGTGTCCTTTAAGGGACTCATATAAAATAGGAGTATGGGACAAACCATGACGTAACGGTCTCGAGGAACCATTCAGTTTATTGCTATTTATAAGCTGATTAACAATCATATCACTTTAGGCACACTGTAGACACCTGCTCATAATATTATGGTACATACAACTGCAAAAATAATATTATAATTAATTATGACCAAAAATAATAGCTTTTTTCACGTATGTTTGTGTCCGGACAGTTGTTCGTGTTGAGCTTGTGCTTCCTGCTGGAACTGATGATCCGACTGTACGTGGTGCCGCCACTGTTGCGACTCATCACCGTCAAGACGGCAATCGAGAAGTCTGCGGGCGTCGGCAACGAAGTGGGCCACTACGACCTGGGCCCGCTGGTCGACTGCCCGCACTACATGGCCATCCACAAGGCTTTTCGTCAGGTGCATCTGTGCGTGGGCATCGGTAACGTCGTCACCATGATGTGCACTGCCTTCCACTTGGCGTACATCGCGTCCTAATGCCTCCACCGCCGCCGCCGCAGCCGCCGCCGCAGCAGCAGCAGAACGACCGGAAGTCTTCCCCCCACAAAAAACCCACTCGCAGCGCATTATTATTAATATTATTTATATGATATAATATATATATTTATATATATTAACAACAGTAAAATGCGTGTTACAGTGACGGCGCCAAACGTCTGTTGCAGTGCGTCGCCCGATAACGTATAGTGTCATCACGACAGGCTATCATTGATTAATTAATATACTATTGATCAATGACACCAATCGTTTGCAGCGCCGCCACTGTAACGCATATCAATAATAATATATAATAATATTATTATATTTCATACTATAATACTACATAATATTATGCCTACTAGCAATATTACTACCACTGCTACTACTACTACTTCTAGTTACTACTACTATATAATATTATATCTGTTGCACGCGCCGCCGTGCGCTCATATAACGTACATTATGTTTTCAATAATTGCTATATACATATATATACAAGGGGTCATCCATAACTTAACTGGCTTTTCGTTTTTTTTTTTTCACCGCCGTTCCGTATATCTCTCTATAGTTCCGTAGAAAAGTGGTTATTTTGCTTTACGCGAACGACAGCGAAAATAAACACATTTCACAACAATTTAATGCACATTATAAATAGGTGCGATGATAATATATATTATATTATTATTATTATTATTATTATATTAACGAGTTCACAAGCGTCGTAATAGTATTATAATAATATATTATACGCATTTCAGCATAAAGCAATGCACCAAACTAATGCGATAAAGTGTAATATAAATTTAATTAAATAATGTCGCCGACCACTGGTCAACCAAAATATGCGTGCACATAGATAAAAATCATGATGGGGGAGCCTCCTAGAAATATCAATTAACGCGTATTAAATGCATTATATACCTACTTTCGAGAATATAAGTTAGGAAAGATTTTGGGGCTTCAGGAATTTTTCGGGATGGGGGGAGGGTCTAAGCTCCCCCCATTTACGCGTGTTAGTATAATATAATATTAATAATATTATTATAATATTTGCACAACACTCGACGATTCACGAATAATAATAATAATAATACGCACAGGTCGGATATTTTCAAAACTTACATCGTTCAGACACGTATGCTGTAGTGGCCCGCGGCGGGCCAAAAACGAATTGAATTCACAACAATATTATAATATTATAATATTTAATAATAATATCATAAAATATTTAATACGCACTGCACCGTGCACACGTATGACAATAATATTATAATATAATAATATTATTAAATGTGTACGCAGTCGTATTTATCGAACGGTTCCTTTTTTATACCGCGTTCGTTCGCATACAGGTATATATAATATGTTTTAGTAATAAAAAATCGGAGTGCGCGAAACTCGTCAAGAAAGACTGCAGTGTATTTTTTTTGTAAACGTAATCTCTATTTTATTATTATCCACGCGTCTTGTGAGCAGATCGATATTAACTTTTATAAGTGATTTTTTTTTTTTTTTATAACATATTTTATTTTTTCTTAGTTCCTATATTTATTGTTGCAAACGTCTATATAGTTGTACGTAATATATAATATATATATATATATATTGTAACACAATAAAATAAATATATTGTTATTTATTAGAATATTCCTTTGGTGAACATATATTTTTACAACTAGGTATACCTACCTCAATACCTATACGCGCCTATACGCGCCTATATCCTGCAGACGCCAGATTCCTACTATATAATAATATGTAATACCCATTTATTATTACCTATGTTATTATGCTGCATCATTTACGATGGGAAGAAAAGAACAAGAATTATACGTGTTTGTTGTTTTTATATTTAATCGTGCAGTGATGTAGGTAGGTTGGTAGGTATAATAATTATACCGCAAGAAAATAATCAAAAATATTGAGTTCAAAATATATTTCATAATCATTTCTAGAAATGACTGTCTGTCGCCAGTAGGACTGACCAGGGTGCCGACTGCTGACTACCGACTACCGATGATTATATAATATTATAAAAAACAATTTGTGTTAAGGGGGGGGGGGGGGGGGCATAATTTGAGTAAAAATCGACTAAAGTAAGTTACAGCTGATAAGTTTATTTTTAAAATTGAATATTTTACACTAACAAAGTACAAAAACAAATCGAATTTGTTTAAATAAAACTTTTTTTTTTTAAAAAAAAGAATATTAACAATCTATACAACAGACAAGGTATAATGAGTAAGTGTGGTGACATAAGAACATTAGACATGAAATAACATTAATAGGAAGGCTCCCAGCAGTGCCACCTGACCAGAAATTAAAATAAAACTATAGAATGTAATTGGGCTTTTTCATAAAATACCTCTTGGCTGTTGTGTAGGTATTCAAAAGATTGAAACATAAACATAGGTATTAGAAAATATTATAATAATTAAATTATGGGTCCAAAAGTCAAAGGCTACATTATAACCTAATGGAGGACATTTAAGTAATAATTCGATTTAAAAATAGCAAGTAAGTGGATACAAGTGGTACAGTAGGTTACAAGTGAGTCACTGGATGTATTAAATTTGAATTCAATATGATATATTATTGTATGCGAAAAACGCGTCTGAGGGGAAACGGTTTGTCAGTTTAGATATTTTATATTGTTATTATATTTCATTATAGCCTGTAAGTTGAATTATTATTATAAACTACAACAAAATAACTAAAATCGTTATTTTTATTCGTTTCTATAGAACCATATATGGTGATAAGCAAATCGTTAGAAATTAAAATTCCATTTTTAGCGGTTTTTTGTAATTTGTCGGTGTTTTTTAACGTGGCTTTAAATAACTATTGAGAAAATCGAAAAATAACCTCTCTAAAGTACCATCTTGATCCAATTTGCTAAAAGATAAGATACGATGTTGAAATCGAAGCACTACATATAGTAGAAACTTTGCATACAGGATAAACAAGGTACAGGTCTGCTGTACAGTACCTAGTTTACAAGTGGGTCATTGTATAATGGATGGTATTAAATTTGAATTCAATGATATAATATCATTGTATGAGAAAAACGATTCTGAGCGGAGACCGTATGTCAGTCTAAACTTAAGACGTATTATATACACATCAATGGTAATAAAAAAAAATATGCACAGTCTTATCATAGAGCATATCTACTTCTTATTCATTATACTATGGTAGATTGTATGGATAGTTTACAATATTTTGATTTTTTGATATTTCAGTTTTATACATCCCCGAATAATATTTTTAAATTACAACAAAAAACTAAAATCGTTTATATTGATTTTAATATGTAATTTCGTCCAAATTTGAACTTAAAATGACTATAAAAATAAACTGTGCTTGTGTATTTTTTAGATTTTTTGGTAACAGAATTAACTACTTCCGTGGAATCTTGTTTTAAATTTTCAATCCTTAGATATAAAAGTTGAACATTTTATAAATTTTTAACTACAAAATAATTATTCAATTTTAAATTTGATAAATTTTGTCAAAATTCGATCTTTAAATCCCTATAAAAAAAAAATTGTGCCTATGTATTTTTAATATTTTTCAATTACTATTGTAACAATATATCAGGAGCCTATTAAATTTATTTTACACTTTTTGGCCCAATAGATAAAACTAAATGGATATTTATAGAAAAAAAAACTAAAAAAATTGAAAACTAAAAATGTCCGTAAACAGCTCAAAAAGAGTCCAAATATTTTCAAAAGTGTATGGTGTACCGTGTACCTATAGGAAATGCTAATATAAACATTCATTGAAATTTTCATGTGTCTACCAGCTATTCGTTTTTGAATTAGTCTTTTTTTTATGAATGTCAATAAAACTTTGTTTGTTGGGTAAAAAAGCTTGAAAATTTAATACAAGGCTTCTAATATATTGTTACAACAGCAGTTAAAATACATAGGCACAATTTTTTTTTTATAAGCATTTAAAGTTCAAATTTTTACAAAATACGGAACTCGCAAAAATTAGCAAATTATTTTGAGTACAGAATTCAAACAAACTTTTTTTTTTAAATCTTAGTTTTGAAAATGTAATACAAGATTTCTCATAAGTTTGGCTAACCATTAGTCTATAATAGACTAGGCTGTGAATCGCTTACATTCAAACGCTTAACACACACCAACAATGTTCATAGATAGACATTTGAAGTTTATATTTTTTCAAAATTGGATATTTGAACAAAGAATAACAAATTTAATTTTAATGGAATTAAAATATATTTATGTGGAATTTGTTCGTGTATTATTATTAATTTTAATTATATTTTATTATAAATGTAGATTAATAGTGTCTTATGTCTATTAACTACGAACTAAGATGTCAATATATTTGCTATATTAAAAGAAGTAAAATAAATTATTATAATAGCAATGTAAGATCCTAAGTTTAATAAAATCATCTTAGTAAAATAAGCTGACAGACCGTCTCCGTTTATAATCCTTTTTCTTATGTTATGATTTATCATTGAATTCAAATTTTATACATCCATTCCAGTAACTTACTCAATTACTAGGTACAGCCGACTCTCCAACTTTACAGTTGATTGCTGAAGAGTTACCTACTTTCCTACTATTTTTAATTGACAAGCAGCAAAAGCAAATTCACTCAATTAAATGCAGGGTAGAAACTTTGGATTTAAAACGTGGAAGGTTCATTTGTACTTTGTTCACTGTGTAGCCGGATCCAGGATTTAATTATGGGAGGACCTTCTAAAAGAAATACTACTAAATGAGCATTTTTTAATAATCTTAGATAATATATTAAAAGCTATTATATTGAGATATTTTATAAAACATGTTAATTTTATGTAAGGCTGAGCTCCTCTTGAATCCACCACTGGTATCAGAGTATATTTCCTCCACTGTACTTTTAATGACAACTTTTGGCTGTGACATTTCCATCATTTAATTTAAATTAAATAAGTGATAAACTTTTTGTACTTATTAGCGACGTAAGATAACAAATCTATAAATTTAAATATGTATACAATTATTGAGTTTGGTTTTGATGAATGTATTATCATTTAGTAGTTATAGCTGAAAACATATTCTGTATACTTAGTATTCACATAATGAGAATGGGACACTTCATCCCAGCATGTTCACTTCACTCCGTCCTATGGTACTGGAATTAAAATAGTTATTACTAACTTAATTCATTTAAATGAGTAAAAAAAAATTGGGTAATTTTTATTATTTGTAAGATTAATATTATTTTTTTATAAATGAATTCAAAGGATTTACAGAAAATGTATAAATTAAATCTTGCATATACACATAAAAATTATTATTTACAAAGTTCTTGATTTCTTTTTGTAAAAACATATTAGTAGAAACCAATTATATTAATGTTATAGTAGGATATAAATATGGATATAATTTGTCGCAATTATTCGCCAACCTCCATAGGCGTAGTATGATTATCAGATGCCGCCCCCGAAGAGTCTTTTTGAACCGTTTCATAAATAGCATTCAATTCAGGCGAGCTTTTAATTTGACACACAAAGTCGCTCATATGTGGATTTTTATCTGAAAAAAAAAATATACAATATATTATACACAATAAGTAATAAGAATAAATAATAATACAACACATGGAAATGTATTTATTTCTTTATATATTAAATATACAAATTTATAAAAGTGACACCTTGAGGCTATAATATGTACATTAAATATAATATTTTTATCACAAAGGATATATAATACACAATATGTTCCGTGAAGAAATAACTGGTTGATGTCAAATGTTATTATAACGTAAGGCATGAAAAAAACTCCTTTAACTTTTTAATTTTTTTAGGGATGGGCATGGCTTAAATATACAAGGTTATTGCAATAGTACCCCCACTATATCATTTTATCACGTTAAGAAATTAAAATGGAAGCGTAAGGGGACGACGTATACTGGCTATACTATGATATTATATGCTATGATATGGACCGTACCCTTACGCTGCCATTTTTTTTTTGTTTGACAACAATATGGGCTATGTGCAATAACCTTGTATATTTAAACCGTGGGGATGGGCAATTCAACTTTTTTTAAAACTACACTTAACTTATCGCACATTTGTGATGCATCTTCAAAACTATTTTAAAGCTATTGTGCTATTAACTAACATACATAATCTATTTTTCCAAAGTACATACATAATCAAACCAGAAATGTACAAATTATTTTTATTAAATTTAAAAACTGTTTTTATTTATTTTTTTTTTTTTTTAACAAGATATATACAATCTGTACCCTTAGGCACAATAAGAATATGTGATAAAATATTTTGTACATGAAAACGTGAGGGAAGAAGCCAACCAGTGAAGGCACTACCTATAATGTTTTTTTATATATATATTTTTTTTTTTTAAATTATTTGGATTATTCATTTAGTAAATCACGACACCAAATTCTTTTTAGTCGTCGAGTGGGGTTACCTGGAATTGTGCGAGAAGCTAAATTGGATATAAGAGGATTAGGATGATATGGAAGTCTGTTATGGAATCTTTTGTAATATGTTATTGCTTCAGCGTGAACTGTTTTTATGTTTAGATCTGTGTGCAGAGAGTAGTTGGAGACATATGGTGGGGCATTAGTGATTAATCTTAAAATTTTATTTTGAACGGTTTGGCATTTATTTACATTAGTTATTTTTGCACTGCCCCATAGTTGTAGGCCATAAGTCCACATGGGCTTGATTAATGATCTATATATAAGTAGTTTGGTGTTTAGTTTAGTGTGCTTGTTAGATATTAGTGGTTTAACTGAGCGTAGTCGTTCGTTTAGGGCGAGTTTTTTAGTTTTGATATGAGGTCCCCAGGTCGCCTAAAAACTGTTACAAAATATTTACAAAAATTAGCATTTTTAAAAGAAATCGGATATTACTCCAAATAACACGGCATTTACTATTTTAATTTTAATTTTATTATTCTACAGAATTATCACTAGAATATCTTACATTTTAGATTCTGAGTGGAGCGAGGAAGCTAATGGTCTTACAATGGTGTTTATTTATTTATTTTCTTGTTTATATCCTCTTTAAAAAATTTCTACCAGAAGGAGTGCTTCGATTTCAACATATAGTACCTTATCTTTTAGCAAATTGGATCAAGATGGTACTCGAGAGGGGTCATTTTCCGATTTTATCAATAATTATTTAATGTCACGGGAAAAACCAACGAAAAATTACGAAAAACCGCTAAAAATGGGATTTTAATTTCTAAAGCTTTGTTTATCACCATAGAAACGAATAAAAAATTATAATATTAATTCAACTTACATGATATAATAATTAATATCTAACAATATAAAATATCCAGACTGACAAACAATCTCCGCTCAGAATCGCTTTTCTTATACTATACAATGATATTGAATTCAAGTTTAATACAATACATTATACAATGACCCAATTGTAACCTACTGTACAGCAGAGCGACATCCACTTACCCACTTTTTTTTTTTTAAATTTTAAATTTTAACACTGAGAATATATGCTTCAATGCCTCATGTAAGCTCTATGTCCAGTAATTATTGTTCATTGACAATAACTACTAGTATCACGAGTCATATCACGTTTAGCAGCAGTATTTCTTAGAAATTATGGAAGATATGAAAAAAAAATTTAGTATTCTAGTATTATTCCGTAAAATAATAAAATTAAAATTAAAATTAAAACTGTAGTAAATACTGGTATCATATGAAACTTCTTCACGGAACACATTGTAATATAATATGAGAAATGTGTGTTTTATTTAACATTTCAAAAAGAAAAAACCAAAAGTAAATTTTTAAAAAAATTGTAAAACTTTCAATTACCAGAATCGGGTATAGTTTGTAAATTTAAGACTGCTCGCATAGCGGATCTTTTGAGTTCTTCCATTTTTTCAAACTCCTGTTTCACGGAGTTTGCTTTAATTTTCAACATGCATGTTTGTTTTAAAGGTTCAACAATTTTATCCAACCCTAAAAAAAAAAAATATTTTAAAATCATTCACTGATTACTAACGAGCAGAAGTAAATAACTTACTTTGTAATACAGCGCTTGGTACGATTTGAGCCATCCTTGAAACCATTAGGTATGTGAGCATTTTAATGTCATAATGATCACGTAGTCCATTCTCCAAATAATTAAGATATTCAAATATGTCTAGACGGTCTAAACATGAGTCCAACAATGTATACATACACTCAAAGGCTGCCTTTCTTATATCTAACCCATCATCAACAGTATGCTTAAATGGACCCATTTCTACTTCTCGTATGAGTTCTTTCTAAAATTCACACAAATAATGTAAAAATTGAATTCTTAAATTTTAATTTTAAAATATAAATAAATACCTTAACAATGGTCTCTGCGTATAGTTTAGGGAGTACAGTATCGAGTAGATCCCTGACCAAAGATGGCTTATTATGTGCAGCCGAATTAAAAGCAATTAATGTTACTCGCCTAACATTTATATCTGGATCGGTAAGAGCACTCAAAAACTGATCCATATTCTGTCTAAGCAACATGTCAATTGGTTGTGGTTGATCAGATATGGTGAATTTAACAGCTGTCAATAATGTGGTTCTCATAAGTGCAGATGACGAGGACAATGATAACTGCAAGTTTGGCAATAAGCTATATGGATCGATTAATGTAAGTTTTCCTAAACATTCAGCAACCACATTACGTGAACCTTCTTCTGTACATTCACAGTGTTTAAATAGTTGTTGCCAAATAGCTGGGACGAAAGGTTTCAGGTTTTCAATGCCATTAGGTGTAGACGACTCAAATGTGATGATCTAAAAGTTATCAATGATCATTAAAAATTACAAATTATACTTTTATCTATAAATTACCTCTTTTAAGGAATGTAATAGTAAATATTGACGTTTAGGTTGCATATCAATCTCTCTTAATATGAAAGGCAAATATTGCTCTAAATTCCCAATAGAAATGCTACCTAAACTGTAACTTGCTGATGATTTTATTTCTTCGGAATTCGACGAGAATGATTGCAATATAGTTTCCTTCAAGTTAACTACAGAACTTAAATCTCTGTAATTGATATAGACAATTATAAAAATTGTAATAAAAAAAAAAATAAAATAGATAAACATACATATGTCTTCCAACTTCACCAATTACTAGCAACGAAAAAATATGCTGTTGGTCGTTAGTTGGATTAATCAATTCGGACATGAAACTGTTTATAATACCCATTGCTTGAGTTGGCTGTGTGGCTGTTAGAGCTGCTACACACTTGGCTAACGAATGGTAAGCCTAAAAATTTAAATATTATTTGTTTATTATTGTCAAAGAACAATTATTATTATTTCAATTAAATATTACTTGTTTATGTAAAGTTAGAGCCGGAGTGCCAACTGGCTGAGCCATCAATGGTGATATTAAAAGTGTTACTAACTCTTGGTATCCAAACTGTGGAACATTTGTAGCAACCAGAGATTGGAAGAATAATAAAATAGCATTCAAGGCTGCGCCTTGCAATAATGGAGATTTGGTTAAAGTCATAATTTCTGGCATAATAATGCTAGAGGAATATGACATAGCAAACGGTTGGATTTTTATTATTGTTGTAAGTAAAGAAAGTGTTAACTGAGCAATATGTAAATCTGATTCATTAATTAACTGTGGTAATTCAATAAGTATCTAAAACAAAATATATATAAGTTAAAATAACATTTAAATTTTAAGTATATAAAACAAAATATAATTTTATGCATTTACCTTTTTTAATAAATCAGCAGAAAAATCAGCATGAAAATTATTTAGCAACATATTAAGTAAAGTTAAAGTACTCAATTTTAATGCTCTCTGATTTTTTCGAAGGAATGACGCCAAAATTAATACACCATCAGTCTAAAATATTATATTTTAATATTTTGTACAAATGTATAAATTCATAAATTAATTAAAATTTACCAGAATAGATGTTAAATCAATTTTCAATGGGGACCCAGCGACTTTAATAAGTGCTTTAACAGTTGTAAGTCTAGTAATTTCATTGCGTAAACGATCCAAGAATATGGGTAAACAAACTTGCAACTCATTTTGTAATACATCACCTAAATTGCAAATTATTTGTCCCATACAAGAAATTGAGCGTTCCTTTACTTCTTGGTCAATATCTGATGTTTTTAAACGAGCGTATGTACAATTATACAACGGTACAGCGTATACCTCAAAATTGAACTCTAGTTTATTATCTGGTGAAAAAAAAAAATAATTAGGAAATAATATATTTTTTTTTTTTTTAGTTTTTACCTAAAGGACGAATGACTTTAACCATTTCCTGTAGAACAATCAGTGCTTCTGCAGTGATCTTATAAAATGGATCACCAACGGCAGTTATAATGGGTGGAATTAATTGCTCTACCCAGGGATGAAAGATTTCAGGAGTATGCGATGTCAACACGCAGTAAATAAATGATAATGTATCAATTTTCATGTTACTACTAGACTTTTTGTCACTAAAAATGATTATTAATTAAATAATTAAAAACAATGGAAAAAATTGAAAATATAAATAAATAATACCTTAGAGAATATTGAATTCCAGGAATCAAAGTTCCTATGTGATTGGTAAGTGCACCAGGAAGAACAATGACAAGTTCTTTCAACAAAGCTAAGCAGTCAGTACGAGTTTTAACACTCCGTTCTTTCATTTGAGCATGTATAGCTTTAACAATTGCAGGAACCTATATACATTTTTTTTAAACATTAATTATTTATGAACTGTTCATGAGTTTGTCATTATTTAACTTACTTGGGATTGAAGAAGGAACATAGCTGAATCCTCATCGGCCATGTCAGCTGTCGTATTACTACTAGTCAACTTTGTTTGTTTCAACAATGTCATGTACACATGTAATATGTCACTTTTAACATTTTCTTCCCTTTCTACAATATTAATGAATATATAATACATTTAACAATTTTTACTTGGATAAAACTATTCAAATTATGATTACCTTTAAATCTCTGTATCAATGATTTTGAAACATTTCTATACATATCTGCAATCAAATCCTTTCTGGTTATAATTATACCTTCTAAACATTTGGCAGCTGACCTCCGAACCTTCCAACTCATATCATCATCATCTGAATAATCATCTTCAATATATTCATCTTCCAAATCTTCACCATCAGTAGTATCCATTAAATTCTCATCACCATTTTCACCATTGTCATCATAATTATAATTTGGATCATATGCCAAATACTCCAAGCATAGCTTAATTATATCATTAGTATAAGCTGCAGTTTCACTGGGACAGCGGTTAACAAAAGCATCAAAGGCTTGCAAACAGTATTCGCGTAATTCATCATCTTCTGCAGAATTTTCCACTAATGGTCCTTTTATTAATGGGACAACACGATCAATATGAACTCCAAACCGATGGCCAGCTTGACGACTGCAATGTTAGTAAATACACAATACAAGTTTATTGATAAATTAAAAAATGTTTTCTATGTTTTACCATATAGCTGCTATACACTGTATCGATGTTTTAGATCTTGCTGCTGGTTGTTGTACTGATAGATCATTAACCAAATAATCAATAAGTTTAATATATAGTAGTTGATTACATGACAAAACTAAATGACCAAGTGCAACAATAGTCCTGAAATAAAGAAATATATTTTTTCAATCTTCAAAAGTAGAAAAATATGTTTACAAAAGTATCAAAAAAAATATTTTTAGAAACAAGCCCTTATACTTTTTGATAAAATTTTCTTTTTTTAGTATTCTGTATAATTGTTAAAAATTAGTAAGCAATCATGCCAATCACTTTTAGTATAAGTTAGGGCCAGTTGTACCGTATACGATTAAACTATGATTAAGCTTAATTAGCTGATAACAGATATTTAAGCGGGCAAATTCGGCCCATTAAACTTTGATAAAATTTAATCATAAACGGTACAATTGGCCGCCCTAAGTATGTTTTATTTTATAAATTATTAAAAAATATTTTTGGTTTTAACTATTAATTTGTTTAAAATTCTAAGAATACTAGAAAGTACGAGATGAGTACCATAAAAATAGTACAACTAAAGTATTAAAAGTGTTACGATTTTTGAAACGGAAAACAAAAATTATCCAGAGCTAAAATAGATAAACATACTACAATTATAAAATAATTAAGTGATAAAAAGAGCAACGTTAAATTGAAATCTGACTTTGAGAGAGATTACTCGTTGAAATAAATATTGCAATTAAAAACTGGATAAGTAGTAGATTTTGTTGAGTTCTACCCAATTCATTAGCACCGCAGGGTCCAAAAGTCAGACTATGGCTCTCAAAATGATATTCAGACATCCTACTGGATGTTGCACAAACACAAACATTTGACCTCTAAGAAACAACTCACTCTAAATTGTTATTTCAAGCACTAGAGACAAAACCTTATGAAAACAGAAGTAACACTATCTCAGAGGTTAAAAATCCAACGGAGCTAGTAATGATAGACTAATAATCACTAAATAGACTCATTAGTATAGGACAGGGGTTGGCAATAGGTGGCTCGCGGGGAAGTAACCAGACCACCAAAAATATATTTGAACGCACGCTTTCCGCATATAATAGATATTTGATTTATTTTATGATGTACTTCGTTCTCCAAAATGGCATTTTTAAAGAATAAATATCGTTCAAGATTAACTGATCTCCATTCTCCACCTTGAAAACACTCTGCGTATTATATATAGTTATTCTCCAAGAGCAGGTACCAAATTTTAAAAAACTAACATTATACCTATTTCCTATTATATAAAAATTTGATTTAAACAGCTCAAAATTTATTTTTAAAACAAAAATAAATACATTAATTAATAATTATTAACTAGGTAGGTACTATTTAAGTTTTATCTGGCCTTCAAAATTTTTTTTCAAATTACCCAATCAATTTTTAATTGCCGAACAACGGTATAGAATGCTAGTATGCACTATGCTCCACAAATTGAGATATATTTTATTATTAATAGATATTATTTATAATACATTACACTGAAAGAACAGATATATTCGAGGATAAGCCAGCAATACAGTTATTAATTACCTTTTAACATTCTTTATTATTAATTAGATTTAATTTAAATTAGGTAAATAAATAAAACATAAGTTCTAAATGATTGAGTTAAAGATCAGGTACATTGATCATATAATTTTGCTTAGCAGTTACTAGATCGCTATCAAATTTTCTATTCTACTTATTAAAACGTTGCATTAAATTACTTTTTAAAAGGTATTTTATTTATATTATACCATTCTTATTTTCTTAAATTATTAAAATCTGTACTATCTAAAAGTACAAAAAAATTTTAATATTTTTTATGTACATGGCTCATTGCATCATATACTATTTATCTCTCCCCTACTAAAATATTTATTAATTAATACAATTATTGATTTCAGAAATAATATTGATTACATTTATATTGTATAAGGTTAGGAAATGTGTTAGCATCCGGGTTTGCGCAATCATGATTGAGTTTTTCTTCACAATCCACTGGTAGATAAATTATCATGATAATAAATTAATCCAATTAATTATTACTTATAATTAGGGCCAACATTTGTATACATTTTCATATTTTTATTGGATGGTCAATAAATAGCTATTTTACACCAAAATTTATGTTTCAACCTAAAAATTTTGTTTTCAAAATCTTATTTTGAATATTTTAGAACTTTTGCAATTTAAGGGCATATTTTTAGAGCATAATTTTATACATTTTCAAGACATTTACAACTCAATGAATTGGAAATCACAAATTTGTTCAAGATCTATGAATATCAACACTCAGCAATCCAAATATTTTTGTTTGGTTTTCAAATGTAAAAAAATTCAAAATATACTGAAATACGAAACCAAAAATTGAAATCATTTACAGTAGATATACCTAATATATAAAATACCTTTAAATAATCATTTCATTTAAATAAAATATTAAAATGTATTATTGCTTTTTTTTTTTTTTTTGAGCAAATTTTGGTAATTATTAGCCAATACAAATTTAATACGTTTATACGTCTATAATTGTTGGCCTACTTATAACATTATTTTATTGTATTGTAATAAAATTAATTTGAAGATAAACAAGATACCTAATTGATAATATTACAATATTAACACAAAATGTACTAATTATTTTATTATTTTAATTTATAAATTATAACCACTAATTAGGATATGAGACTTATAACAATTACTAATATTTTTAACATAACATTTAACCTACTAATGGTATAGAAATTATACTATACTCATACTGTTCTGCTTAACATGTTTTTCTAATTGGTATTTTTATATTTTTTATTTTGAGATGGCATAGCCAATGACAAAATATGCTGAACACAAACACCTAGTATTTTATAATATGAGAGGGAAACATGGACGTTTTTGAAGGGACACCTTATTTGTATTTTTTAGGGGTTAAGGGGAGGATCACCATTGTTTAGTTTGCTTTTTTTTTTATTTATTTCAATACTATTTAAGTGCTTATAATGAATTTATTAACCAAGTGGTTTTTTTTAGTTTTCATTTGGATGAGTTTAGGTGTTGTAATTAAGGAACCCTTATTAATAATACATTATAATGCATTATAAGAAATGTCTTTTTAAATATTTAAGTGTCCATGAGAGAAATGTTGCTAACATATAAAACACCTACATAATTCTTTTCTTATTCAGTGCTTATAATGCATTTATTACCTAAGTGTTTATTTGGATGAGTTAAGGTGTTTTAAGTATGGACCCCTGATTATAATACATTTTAAGAAATGTGTATTTAAATTTAAAAAAATCTTATAAAATGTCTAAATAATATTTCTGATTGAACAATAATTACTTTTCTATTTATTTTTAAAAATAAATAAAACAATTAATAAAAATTCAAATTATTTCTATATCAAATACAACACATTCAAAATGAAGGTTAGGCTTAGGACCATAAAAATATCTTAAGACAGAAACATCAAAGCTTGAATCTTATGTCTGAACACAGTTGGTTTTCCTACTACTTTATTAAATACCCTACCTACTTAGCAGATTGTTTTATATCTAAAAAATACAATCATTTATTTTAAAAGAATTTTATTTTAGTCCCAACATTCCACTTTCTAGACAAGATAAATCACAATGTAAAAACTGATTTTTAGTGCACTCCTAGAGACCCAGCAGGATACATATTTTCGGGGAAAAAAAGTGAGTGGAAAATAACAGAAAAATTTCCAAGTAAACGCTTTCAAAATTTTGGACGTACAACTATACAAGTGTTTTAAATTGTTACCTTTTTCTTACTGCTTGGCGAGAAGAGTTAAGTTGAGGCAATAATGATTTTAGTATACCACTATGGAAATCTAATAACAATGATCCAAATCTTGATAGTAAATCAGCAAGTATGTCTAAAGCTTCCAACTGTACGGATACATCTTGCTGTAAATGATTTTACTTCATAAATGTTGTATTCCACGATTAACTTTCAAACTTACCTTTTCAATAGCACTAGTCAATTTTCCAGTAATCCTCCGGCACACATTCGCAGCTAATGAAGTATTAGTGATAGGCAGCTCACTTATAACAGTCTTTAATCCAATACTACAAATGTCTCTCAATTGTTCATTTTCAGATATCATATTTGTACAGAGTGCATCAACGATAGTTTCCACTTGGTTTTCTTTTACTTTATTAACAAGTGGGCCCAAACTAAAATTAAGTAGATTAAGATTCAATGAAATATTCACTTATTCTTTAAAATTCAGAACTAACATTATTCATATAATATATTAAAGATATGAATGTTATAAAGATCTAAATAGACTTCAGTGTCTATATTATTATATTAATAACTTTACAGTAATTCTAATGCTTCAAAAATCCATAGCTTACCAGTTTGTATAAATTAAATATTAATATAATATATGTAAGCACTTAGTAACAATTCAACAGTAAGTTAATACTTACCACTTAACGGCAAGATTTTGAACTTCACCATTTTTGTCTTCTAGCAACCTTAGCAACATTCTCACTACTTTACGTTCAGAATCATCGTCTAATTTAATGCTGTCTTTCTGCAACTCTGACATCAGATCGTTGGTAGCCATAAACCGGAAGTCTTTGTCACTCGAAGTCATCTGAAACAACCAAACACACGCAGTTCAGAATTTGCCCGCAAGTAACTGGCAACTGCTAAAGGCCGATATAAAGATATTAAATAGATTTCACTAACTTTTTCGAGCAAATGAGCGATTTGGTACGACACGTTAGCCATGATTTTATAGTCGATCGTTACGCCAATAAAACCGACAAGACAAGAGTATCACTGCCCACTGGGCGAGTACTAATCGCATACGATAATAAGTTAAAATTAAAATTCCATTTGACACGATTTGTGCATTTGTATTGCAACTTGGAATTACAATATTACGAGTTACGACAACCGACAAATGTAAAACGAATGGAATAAGTAAATAACTCGTCGTAAAAAAAAACACGGCGGATGCGGCAAGTGAAAAAATAAAAATGAACTTTATGTTGTATGAAAACTGATTACGGTTTTATAGCCTCCCAGAGATATATGGCCATAGTTATATATGGACCACGGTCGTGTAACGTCGGGTGTCCGTGCTCAACTACTTCGTGTGCACGTTGAATGAAATTTCATTATCCGTGATAGGTACAACTGTACAAGATAGAAGATAAAATTGCAATCATCTCTACAATTTAGTACGTCGTGTATAGTGTCGCTATATCGCATTCTGATTGGACGTTACATTTTTGTTGTCGTGTACTAGCCAGGTCGTAACCGAGTACTACCTCGATTTTGGTACTAATTGATTACCTACAATACCGAAGTAGTGGTTTTGGTAGTACTTGTAGTGCCGTGAATCGTGATTGCGTGAAAGTGAAACACTGACGGACTGAACCCGGAGCGTCATGTCGGTTTATTATTATTATTATTATTATTATTATAAATGAAGAATTGTTGTCTACTCTCCTGTTTACCACTGTTTATTGTCTACTTAAGTCGAAATTCGAGTGAAGCTTTATTCTGCTAGATTTTAATGTTCATCTAGAATCATGGTCAAACTTACTACGGAATTGATCATGAATTCGTACCAGTTCATAAATCCAGTCAAAGATAGAGAATTGGATTTGAGAGGTAAGCGATTAAGTACAATGTGACTAAAAGTCAACACTTTTCAACAATTCTTGTATTTCTTATAATATAACATATTAAAGTGTACACCTACTTGTATATTTCTTTCAAATGTAAAACAATGAATACGAAATGTTTTAGGTTATAAAATACCACTGATTGAAAACATGGGCGCAACACTTGATCAGTTTGATACAATTGACTTTTCAGACAATGATATCAGAAAAATTGATGGTTTTGCATACCTTAAAAGATTGAAAAACATCATATTTAATAACAATGCTATTGTGTAAGTGTTCAAAGTTTAATAGTAGGTATACAATATAATTTAAAATAATAACTAGGTACTTTTCTGAGTAGGTAGGTATCAAATTATTATTTTTATAGCATTGCAATGTCATAACATTCATTAAAAACCAAATGTTATCTCCATAAACTGAATTGGCTTGTGCTAATTGAATTTTGATTTATTCCCCTAAAAATTTGAATGAAAACAATTCAATCACTGAACAAATTTTAACTACATTGTTATTGGTACCCTAGTAACTGCAATACATTTCTTATCTGTTTAGAATTTAAATTCAGTTGTGTAAGTAGTGGGATTCGATAAAAGAAAATTTTAAATATTTTTCCATATACTGCGTGATTCTTTTATCAAACAACACTCATTATTTCAGTGTAAATTTTTTTGAAAATATTTTTTTACATAGTTTCAAGTCGCTTATAAAACAACGTTTTTATTAAAAAATTATATTTTTAAATATTTTTTATCCTTATAATTTTTTAAGTTTTTTACTTTTTTGAATAACAACATTGGGTTTTAATTTTATATTCCAAAGCAGAATATTTTTCTTAGTATTTTGATACATGAAAATCGAATTTGGGTTGAGTAGTTTATGAGTTATAAATATTCAAAGTTTGATGAGCGGCGAAGTGGACAAACATTTCGCGGGGTAACCCCGAACCACTCCACTCCGCTCGTCTAAACTTTAAATACTTATAGCTCGTAAACTACTCGTCTCAAATACGATTTTAATGTATCAAAATACTAAGAAAAATATTCTACTTTAGAATATAAAATTAAAACCCTATGTTGTCATTTAAAAAAGTAAAAACATAAAAAATTATAAGGATAAAAAATATTTAAAAATATAATTTTGTTATAAAAACGTTGTTTTATAAGCGACTTGAAACTATGTAAAAAAATATTTTCAAAAAAATTTACACTTTTTGAAATAATGAGTGTTGTTTGATAAAAGAATCACCCAGTAGAACATTTTAATTTATAATAGATACCTACTTGAAATTAATGCAAAATAAAAAATGCACAACTTTATAATTAATATTTTTTTTTAACTATTTTAAGTGATGATGTTACCCATCAAATAATTGACAATTTGTCCACCATTTGAAGATTGATTTGATCTTAATTTTTGTCAACTTATAAATGTACTTAAATAATTTTTGCAGACGTATATCAGATAACTTAGAACAATGTCTACCAAATCTTGAATCTTTAATACTAACAGGTAATCAGATTCAAGAGCTTGGAGATTTAGATCCTCTTGCTTCACTTCCGAAGTTGAAAATGTTGAGTCTTTTACATAACCCAGTTGCATCAAAAGAGCATTATCGACTTTATGTAGCACATAAAATTCCACAAGTTCGAATTTTGGACTTCAGAAAAGTTAAATTGAAGGTTTGTTGTTCTTCACAAATTATTAAAATATATAATAAACATAACATCAATTATAGGAATATGAAGCAGCTAAAACATTATTCAAAGGCAAAGAAGGAAAGGAACTTAAAAAGAAGTTGGTTAAGAAATCTAATCAATTTGTTCCTGGAGAAGGTCTTGAAACCAAAAGAGCAAATGGTAAATAAAAAGTTAAAACATATTAAATTTACTTATTTTTCAGTTACTAAACTTAGTCCAGTTTTACAGTTGTTTAATAATTGAATAATTTACATTAATGTCTACATGTATTAAAAGCAGTTTAATTTGAGAGCATTCAGGGAAGTCATTTCAGTATTTGTCAGGGTAGGGCATAATAATGACTGGCCCAATAAATATAAAAGTTATAGTACATATCAAAAAAAGACCTGATCACTTCACTCACTATACTCTGTTCCATCTATGAGTGAACCGCTTTTGCGCACACAGACTGAGCAGCCGAACAGTGCCTGATCGTCATGCGATGGCTGTGATTAGCGGACAGTCATCGCCGGCCGTCGTCGGGCGCCTGTGTTAAAGCTCTCACCGATGTCTGGATTGTGGTGGGGATGCACAGAAAAAATGTGTTTTGGTCAGCCGAGTGGTTCACTCTTAGATGGAACAGAGTATAGGTAATTAAACTACAATTTAATAGTTTTCTAGAATTCATATGAAGTAAACTATTCGTTTTTGTTAATATAATACTTATTTATATTATATAAATAATCTTAACTCAGATCAACACATAACCTAAAGGCCTCAATAAACTTTACTCTGAAAAAGATAATATATATTATATAATATTAATAAAAGTTTCCCAATAAAATAATCATTAAACACCGCCAATTATTGTCTTATAATAGATTACTGAAAGATAATTTTTGATTCTTTATGCCGACCCACAGCTAATTTAACCCTTTCACTGCTCCAGTCGTACTATTTCGTCCAAAACATTTACACCATTCACTGATCCAGATGTGCTATTACGTTCCTGTATTTTATAATATTCTCATTTGGCAGTAGCCGTACTAGTTTAGGAAACTATGGCTCTCATTTTTTTTAACTTAAATGATTAATACTAAGATCTCAAAATTAAAATTTTAAATATAACAAAAAAAAAAAATTTTATTTTACATAGCGTACACAGGGTTGCAGTGGATAAATAGTGTAGAAGTGAAAGAGTTAAAATCTAGGGTTGGGCAAATAAATACTCCTGCCCCTCTTCCCCTACTACAAATGACAACCCTGAGGAAATTATACCCGCCCAATTGTGTTGTCCTTGTCTTACTTACATGTAACATACCAAATTTTACGTTGAGAATAATCCATTTTACTTAGGAATTTGACATATTATTAAATTTTAAGAAGGCATTTTTTAATGTTGTATTTTTAAAGTTATACCTTGGGCCCTAAATAATATTAATTCCTTGTAGTTTGGTCATAAGTCAAATTACTTTATTTATTTATTTATTTCGTATGGCATGAATATCAAACACATAATACACTATTCATTTTCTAACTGTAACAAATATAGAATAATAAAATAAAAACAGAACATAAGGTTCTGGTAGTATACATATAGCTATTAAATATGTTATATAAATTATAAACGCAAATAAAATAAAATAAATCAACATTTAATAATATTGTTATAAATAATAGTTAATTATAAGTCTAAGTCAAGTTCTATTGCCATTCTATTGCCTCTTTGGTAACTTTGTAGATTCCTTCAGTCCCTTGTTCGAATAACCTGGGACACGATTCCACGATGTGTTTCATGGTCTGTTCCACTTCCCTACAATCTACACGCTACACTATCTTTGCAGCGCCATTTGAATAATAAAGATTCACATCTTCCCTGTCCTGTCCTGATCCGATTTATTGTTGTCCATTGGTTTCTTGGTAGTGACATGCCTTCTATATTTTGGTCGGGTCTAGTTGTAAGGTCTTTATTTGTAACATGTGATTTTGTCCACTCTTCATTCCATAATTTACTACTACAAAATTGTGTGTTGATTAAGTTCTTTGCTGTTAAGCCATGTGGTTTTCTGGATTTTAGTCTATTTATCGGTTTATCCCTTAGCATTTGGAACAGTAGTGATCCTTTGTAGTTTAGGCATGAAGTCATAGTGTTGACTAGAGCCTCTTTCCTCCTGATTACTTTACTGAAAATAACAATATAAATGCATTATTCTGAATATTAAATTTGCTTTGCTATAATATGTTAGTATGAGACAACTCATGCCTGTACAGACCTCTGAATGAAGTTAACATTTTGTATTTTATTTAATAATTGATAAAACAAAACTTGCATTTTGTGGGTATGCACTTAAATGTTTTTGAAACTAATTAAGAGTACAAAATCTGATATAATAATATTATGATTTTTACTTAAGATATTTTAATAGTGGTTAAGATTTAAAATAATGGAGTGAAAAAAAATATGTATGGTAATATTTTGTTCATTCTCGGTTCGCTTCAACAGTTTCGTGTTTCACTATGATACTATTAAAATAGGTTGTTTTATAATTCAAACGGTACACCTTCAAAATATAAATTCTAGTTGTTCATTAGTTCTTATGTTGGAAAGTTATTTAATTAGTGTATTAAATATTTAATTTTATGCAAATTAGTCCAAATTTGTATAACAAATTTATTTTAATTGTTTGTGCGTTAATTCCATAAAATTTATTATTTCTTGTTAATATAGGTCATAGTCAAGAAGACATGTGGAGAATTCGAAAGGCAATATCTGAAGCATCATCGTTAGAAGAAGTTGAACATCTAACCAAGCTGCTCGAAGCTGGGCAAATTCCTAACAAAGACCAAAATAAAAAATCTGTTCCACTAAATGGAGGTAAATAAATAATATTATATAATTCAATAATATATTTTAATTTGTTATATTTATAAATTATGATATTATATTATTACTAGAAGAAAATATTGAAGAATTTGATGATGATGATGATGATAATAATGAAGCACCAACACCAATGGAATAGTGATTGTCAGTCCTGATCCTTATACTGAAGGCTTTTTTTCTCAGCTATAATTTAAGAATATATTATATTTAATATTTAATCAGTTCATTAAAAGATAAGAACAGATACTATTGGTCTATTTTTTAATTTTAATTATTTTCTTGAATCCTATTATCAATGGGTTGTCAGTAAAATACTAACATTTATTTTATTAAGCTTATATGTTGAGAAGCGCTGTACAGTAACACTCATGGGTGTTACCTTTTAAAACAAACAATGTCATCTCATTTTACATGTTTGATAGCGTTTAGTGATTACAGTGGTTGTTTATAAATACAATTCATCGTCTGACATACCTTTACCAGGATACAATGACAATTATCAACTACGACAAAACTATACAGATCAATGTCATATTATTTTTAGTAAATACCATGTCCACTTAACTGAAAATGGATAACAATTGTGTATTGCAGAGGTTCTATCTAGCCAACAAGATGAGCAGAACAAGCTAATACAGTAAGTGCAATGTGAGTAAGCACCATAAATTAAAAATGTGTACAAATTATTCAATATGTAATTTTTTTCACTGTTGCAACAAATATGTGAAAACAATGTTTATTTTAAACATTCAATTCTCAGACTATTAAATTTTCAGTTATTTTGGTTATAATGTTATAATTTCATTACTTGCATAATATGGATTTTTATTTAATTAAGGTGAGAAGACGTACAGCAATAACATGACCTACAGAGTAACACAAATGTATCGATTCAAACAGAAAAAAACTATTACTGTTTTGTGTCTTTATTAATCTGTTTGATGTTGTAAATACTTAGTTGGGAAAAAAATGTGTGCATTGTTTTTAATAAATAACATATTTTGTAAGATACTACTATTTTTAATTGTTTAATACTGCTGTTTGGGAGTATTGCGCTAATTGTAATTTATATTGAAAATAGTTTTTTGTCCCTATCTACAACCTGTATATTGTATAACAAATGACAAATATTATTTTAAAATCTCCTTTAAAAAATGATGATCAACTTCTTTCTAATTCCCTCACTAAACACTTTTGTCCAGTGCAGTGGCGGCTCGTGAGGTTCACGTAAAGTGGTGCACAAAAAATGTATAAGATATCTATGTTAGATGGTAAAAAAATTTATTTTGGTATAGGTACATACCACGAATAATACCAAAATAATGTACCTACTTATCTTATCTAAATTAAATTTTTTTAAGCATTTTACCCCATTAAAATATAAATTAAATTATAAAAAATTATCAACTACTTATTATTAACTTATTATGTATGAATATAAACACAAATACACAATATCGTTGTAATTATAATTTATTATTAGAGGCTAGAGCTATACAATTACAACAAATTACAATTATTATTATATGAAATTAATCAGTTACATTTTTAAAAACTAAATCTATACGTCTGTCTTTTTTTTGTACAAACACTTCAATAACTTCTTCGTTAAAATTAGACATTTCATTTATTTATTTTATTTATAATAATTCTATGGATATTATAGTAGTTATTAGTTGATTTGACTGCTGCAGTGCTGCACACTGGCAGCAGTTGATGAATACTGTACAATGATGCGTTATCGTTTCGACGAATGACACAATATCGCGACAATAAAATAGGATCGGTGCACACATTAAATGTGCTCCAAATTGCCATGTATTACCGGTCGGCGTGTCGAGGCATGTAGCTAATTTTTATACGGCCGCCCGGAGCACAAACAACTTGTGCTCCGCGATATTATTTAATCGTTTATAAATATATTTCTTAACATAAAAGCTGCAAAAACTTGTTTTTATTAATATAAATATTTATATTTTTTTTAATTACAGACCATTTGCATAATCATCAATTATATTATGTTATTATGGCATATAATAATTTTTTTATATAATTTTTTTGGGTGGTTCACGTGCTCCTGTGCACCATACCACGAGCCGCCACTGGTCCAGTGACTAGCTCATGTCAGTACCAACTACCAATTTTAAAAATCTTGTATATGGTAGTATATAGTAATAAACAAATTCCAAAACACACACAACCCATACAATTTCATACAATACAACTAACAACATAGAGCGCAAACTAGATTTCTAGTTAAACACAGTAAAGCCTATACATCCAGCTTAGACAACCAGACTGATACCTCAGTAGTTTGGAGTAAAATAAAATCCCTCAAAGGAACTAAAAAAACCATATACAACTTCTCTTTAACCCAGAACTCATATCGACACCAAGAGAGGTGGTAAATTCCATTAGGCTTCACAAAAATTCAAGCAATTCCAATCCTTTATATTTAAATTTGTGAATTCATGAAGTTCTAGTCACGGGTACTAATACCTTAAGTTAAAAGGACATTACAATACCTAAAAATTAAATGGATTTACAGATACATCATGTATTACTTGAATAAGTGTATATTTTTATAGATTGTAGATAATAAACATTGCTTCTAATTTATTTAAATTATCAATAAACACAAAATTACAGAAAAATATATTTAACATTGCACATTGCATTTTGTACACACTAATGTCACGAGACTTTTTTTAATTTAAGTAAAATTCCAAATTTTATAAATAGAACTTCAATTTTTAAATATTAGCTTTTCAACTACGTCATAAAAAAAAAAAAAATCACTTTAACAGAATAATAATAATTAAAATTTGTTCTTACTTATTTATATACTTAAATAAAAAAAAAATATTTCAATGGTACATTTAATAATTTTGGTTCGAGGCTTTCCTACCAGATTTAGACCAGTGACAATTGCTGTTCAATACATATGGTAATATATATGGATTTGAAAGTATAGCAGATGCATTAGGTCGAACTGTTGGATCACGACTCAATAACTCTTGTAAAAGCAATATTACATCACTGTCGTAAAAGTTCATTTTTTCTGAAATATTCAAAACTCCTTCTACAATGCTTGATATAGTATCTGCTAAACTCTATAAATATTTGTATTAAATTTAGTTAAATCAACAAGTATTTCAAGATTACCTATGATTATCTTTTTACTTACGTTTGCAACAAAGGGATGTTTTGTAGTAATCAAATAGTATAAGACACAACCAATTTGCCATATGTCACTTTTTAATCTCAAAGGTTTCCCAAAACATTGCTCCGGAGACATGTAACATGGCGTACAACAATTTTCACCAACAATTTTGTCACTAACATATTAAATTCCTATTAATTGTATATTCTTAAAGTAAGTAATAATAAAATTATCAATATTGTGTACCTGGTTAATATGCGAGAAGAGCCAAAATCTCCGAGTTTTACTACTGTACCTTGATTTCCTGTTAATAATATATTCATTGGATTAATATCACTATGTATAATCTTCATTTTGTGGATGTAGTCTACTGCCATTGTAACTTGACTAAGTATATTTAATACACACTAAAATAATTTCAAGACATAAGTTGATTAAAATTAATTTATAAATTATAATACTATAAATATTTACATTTTGTGCAATATAATTTGAAGTTTGTGAACATTTATTAACAAAGTTTTCAAGAGTTCCGTGTATGGCATACTCCATAATGATATGGAAACTTGTTTATTTGAAAACTATTATAATATCTGATGATATTTGGATGATTCAACATTTGAAGAATTTGAATTTCTTTGATAGCTTCCTGAAGAAAAAGATGTAGGTTCATTAAAACTACTAACACAGTATTGAACATATTTTAGTTATTTACCTTTACGTTCTCTTCAGACATGGATTTTATGTGTATGGTTTTCATAACAGCTAATTTCTTTAAATTAAAGTCTCTAACCAGTTCAACAACTCTAAAAATTGTAATATTTATAGATTAAAAAGTAATATTTTATGTTATATTTATTGAAAAAATTACCCAAAAGCTCCACGTCCTAGCACACCAACAATGTTATAAGAATCCATGGTCGCACAAAAATAAATCAACAATTTCTATTATACTGTGTACGAATTTTTTATAGTATAATTGCAATCGTTATGTACCCATTGCAAGCTTAAACACTACCTGTAAAAGTTAAATGATGATTTAGAGTACCTAATAAAAAGGTGGTACCTAGGTAGGTGATTTAATTACACATCAGAAACTTTAATCAACTTAAAAATCATTCCGGCCTCCGGCATTGCCTTAATAAATTATACTAAAATAATAAATACCTATGTTAACAATTAACATTTATCGGCTTACTTCAATAGTTCAATTGTTTGATGAAATTAATTTAAATATTGTATTAATTATAAAATTGAATCAGACTCAGCAACAATAGGTAGACAAACAACGGATACGGCGGTCAACTTCTCAACTTTAGATTTTTAATTTATTATTAATATTTATCAAGACAATCAGACATTCAGACGTCAGTTAGAAATTAGAATTAGCCACCAGCCACCAATGACCAAAGTACCAAACACAAATTAGATATTATCACAAATCACAATCGAACAATAGATTTTCCTACGTCCCACATTCAATAATGTATGGTTAATCGGTTAATGGTTATAAAGTTATAACTAAACTATGGGAAACATTTTTAATAATCTATAACGTCACTTATCTTTTTTATGTAAAAACCAAAAATTGCTCTTATAAATAGAACAGTAACAATGATTAAATTTAAGATATACAACAGCTTAGACGACGATAATACGAAATGTGATAACGTGACCGTTAAAGAGAATATTCTGTAGACTGTACTGCCGTGCTAAGCCAAAAGAGGGTATCTCCAATTTTGGTCAAAATGATTTTATTGGGTAAATGGGTTTATATAGTGATATTTTATCGATTTCAGAAGCCAAAATGTCGTATATCCACTTTTTTCTTGTCTATGACATATGTTTAAATTAGTAACTTTAAGGGTATGTCCATAAATATTCACAAACCTGAAGCATTTTCACAGTAAATCCTAATAATTAGCAAAAATAGGGTATGTGAATGTGACATGAAAATTATTGGAGTTACGTGAAAAAAGCTTATTTTTACATTGCTATTGAAAACAGTATCTCCAATCTCTATAATATTACCAGGCATTTTGCATCTGGTATAATGATAAGTATTAAATAAATTATAATTTATAATGATAGGTACATCCACGGTCTTAGGTCTATGGGTACATCAATTCTAAAATTAAAATATATAGTTACAAGCAGTGGCGTGGCGAAGGACATTTTTTGGGGCAACCGCCCCTAGTAAAATTCAAGAGTGGGTGGGTGGGTAGGTCACCCAGTGGTGATATTGAATAGGTATGAACACTAAGAACAGTAAGAACACCATGAACAAATGTATATATAATTGGGTACCTATAAACCTATAACTGGGTACCAAAAAAATGTATTCGCCCCTACATAAAAATCTTGTCGCCACGCCATTGGTTACAAGCATAGACATATTAACTAAAGTTAATATGTCTATGGTTACAAGCATGAACTAAGATATATCGAATGAACTAAGGTATATCTTAGTTCATGGTGCAGTTTAATACCAGAAATAGAAATACAATATTATTCTGTGATAAGGTACGTAGTTTTTCGGTTTTTCTGCTTGTTCGTTTATCGATGGAATTTGTCTAGTTCTTTAAACTCATATTGTTTAAATATATTATTATAATCTAACGACAATCCTCAAGTATAGATAAAATGAATAGTCGCGTACAAGGAAACAGCAAATGACCTATATGAAGAAGGAGACTGATTTATATTTATTTATTTTTGTTTAGTTTTTATATACTGACATATAAGTATTGATTAAATATAAGATTGTTATTTTTAAATATTTTTAAGTCCCTATATATTTGTTTTTATTAACACTAATTTATATATGCATTTGTCATGGAAGATATTTTAAGAAATTTTGTTTTTTATTTAAAATTTTAGATTCTGAGCGGAGCGATGAATGTATTGGTTTTACAATGATGTGTGTTTTTATATTTTTATATTTTTTTATTTTTTACTTTTATATTTTTATATTTTTTTTGTGTCTGTCATCACGTTTTGGGACAGTAAAACTGTAAAAGTGCTTGGATTTTCTTCATCAGTAGCTTTTCTGATAGGAAAGTGAATCTAGTTAGTACTTTGGGGGGTCAAAAGTATAAATTTCACAGTAGTTTTCACAAGCGCCGGAAAAAACAACATAAAAATAAAGGAAAAACGGGAATTTTTACGCAAAATTGGTTTTCCAAAAAATCGATTTTGATTATTGGTGTAACTCTAAAACAAATGAACGTATATACATGAAATTTTCACTGGTTGTTTATATTTGCATTTTCTATACACGATAAAATTTTCAAAATATTTTGATTTATTTTGAACTGTTTAGGGGCATTTTCATTTTCCACTTTTTTTCTAAAAATATCAATAAAATTTCATTTGTTGGTTGCAAAAGCTTGAAAATTTAATAGAAGGCTCCTAATATATTGTTTCAAAGGCAGATGAAAAATATTAAAAATCCTTAGTCACAATTTTTTTTTTATAAGCATTTAAAGTTCAAAAATTGACAAAATATGGAAAAATCACGAAAATTAGCAGATTATTTTGAGTTAAGAATTCGTAAAAATTTTTCTTTTTAAATCTAAGATTTTAAAATGAAACACAAGATTCCTTATAAGATTATCTACCTTTATCAATAAAAAAAATCTCTACCGGACAGTCAAGTTAAATTTTTATGAGCTTTTGAAATTCAATTTTTTACAACATTGGATATTCACTCGATTACTGATGTAGCGATTTCCTTATTTTGTTGCAATTCAAAAACGAACAACAGTAGATACATGAAAATTTCACTGAATGTTTATATTAGCATTTTCTATACACCATACAATTTTGAAAATATTTTGACTCTTTTTGAGCTGTTTATGGACATTTACAGCTTTCAATTTTTTTTAGTTTTTTTTTCTATAAATATCAATAAAGTTTTATCTGTTGGGCCAAAAAGTGTAAAAATTTAATACAAGGCTCCTGATATATTGTTACAATAGCAGTTGAAAAATATTAAAAATACAGTTTTTTTTTATAAGCATTTAAAGATCAAATGTTGACAAAATTTATCAAAATCTCGAAAATTATCAATCATTGTAATTAATAAATTATAAAATGTTCAGTTTTTATAGCTAAGGATTGCAAATTTAAAACAAAGGTTCTCATAAATAGTTCATACTGTAACCAAAAAATATAAAAAATATATGAACACAGTTATTTTTTACAGACATTTTAAATTCAAATTTGGACGAAATTACATATTATAAAACCTAGAATAACTATTTTAGTTATTTTGTTGTGATTGAATAATATTATTCGTGGGTACTTGAAACTTCTAAAGTGTACTATTATACATCTATGATAGTATCACGGTTTTTGTTGATGTATTACGCGTTATAAGTACCTAATGGATATTGTGATATGATTAATTTGGAATTTATTATAGGTACCTATTATAGGTCAATTTTTTGTTTAATACCATAGATATGTATATAATATGTCTTATACATAGACTGACATACCGTCTCCGCTCAGAATCGTTTTTCTTATACAATGATATTATATCGTTGAATTCAAATTTAATATCATCCATTATACAGTGACCCACTTGTAACCTACTGTACAGCAGAGCGACACCCACTTGTCCACCTTTTTTTTTTGTGTCTGTCAACAAATTTTGGACGGAGCAGAAAAAATACTTCGATTTTCAACTTTGAGGGTGGTTTCTGTGGTAGCAAATTCAATTTTACTTTTGTCATCGTAATTTCTTCAACAACAATCATTATTTTGTAGTTTTTGAATTAAATATGCCAGATGCAGAAAACTCATCTAAAAATTATTGTTTATAAATTTTGAAATTTAGGTAGGAACTTATTATTTTTGTTTTACATTTCAAAAATATAATTACGATAACACGGGGTCCTGGGTAGGCTATTTAGGTACACCATTGTCGTGGGTCATTTTTTTCGGTCTTTATGGTAGTATATTATTACTCTATGGGTAGTAACAACATTTTAATAATAGGTATACTAATAATAATAAAATATGACGCTTTACCTGGCTGTTCTATATTTCATATTTACTGAATTAAGATACTTTCTTCGTTTCAAGAATAAATTATAACTGTAAATAAGATAAAATGTGTATACTCGACATCAGAATGGGTTGTCGCTTATAATACCGGCCATTGATTATAATTTATAAAAACTAGTATTCATAACCAATGATAATACTATTGCAAATACTTGCCTTTTATCGCAAGTAGGTACATTCCACAATTACAGGTTACACAAAGGTTTTGAAACAATACTATTAAAATGCTTGAAATTGTTATAACTTATTTAAGGAAGCCAAAGTTTAATTTTTGGTCTGGTTGATTGAATTCACGTTGATATTTTTATTATGTTAGCGACTTTGAAAACTTTAAACGAGTACAATGACTTTGTTTTCATCACCTAATTATAAACATTGCTTCAAGGTAAAAAGCAATACAATTTAATATTTTAGTCACTATTCAGAGTGGAGATATTAAATTGGAATAATTAATGTTTATACTTACTATTTAGTGTTATTGTTGGGTAAATGGTAAAAATAAAAACTAGTAGGTAATTTAATTTAAATATAATATTATTTATGTGGATATTCGTTATTTTATGAATTTTATATTAACTTGTTTACTCACATGTACTTTGGTCTTTGATTAACAATAACAATTTCTAATACATATTACTAATTATTAATAATTAATAATTATATAAAACCCCGCAATTTCACAACCAAATTGTTGAATTGTCGTGGTATATCATATTGTTAAAAAAAAACCAGTAATAATAATTTATACATTTAATGATACCTATTTGCCATTTGGTTAATTTATTTTACTATACAAAATAAATGTGTTGAATAAAGGGGCCCACCGATATAAACATAGACGAGGGCCCACAGGGAAAATCCCTTTTACCCTATGGGTCTATCTACCTCTGTTTATACATATAGTATATAGTATATACACTGGCCACTGGGTGATTCTTTTATCAAACAACACTCATTATTTCAAAAAGTATACATTTTTTACATAGTTTCAAGTCGCTTATAAAACAACGTTTTCATTAAAAAATTATATTTTTAAATATTTTTATTCTTATAATTTTTTAAGTTTTTTACTTTTTTGAATGACAACATAGGATTTTAATTTTATATTCCAAAGCAGAATTAGTATTTTGATACATGAAAACCGAATTTGGGTTGAGTAGTTTATGAGTTATAAATATTCAAAGTTTGTTGAGCGGTGAAGTGGACAAACATTTAACGGGGTAACCCCGAACAACTCCACTCCCCTCGTCTGAACTTTAAATACTAATAATTCATAAACTACTCTGCCCAAATTCGATTTTCATGTATCAAAATACTAAGAAAAATATTCTCCTTTGGAATATAATATTAAAACCCTATGTTGTCATTAACTAAAAAACATAAAAAATTATAAGGATAAAAAATATTTTAAAATATAATTTTTTTATAAAAATGTTGTTTTATAAGCGACTTGAAAGTATGTAAAAAATTTACACTTTTTGAAATATTGAGTGTTGTTTGATAAAAGAATCACCTAGTATATAATTTTAGTGTATACTATAATACTTTATTATAGTAATAAGTAATTACAATAGTAGCATATTAGTTAGTAGTTACTAGTATCATATTATGTATATTTGGAGAAATTGAGAGAAATAGCGATGGTGGTGACTGGTGAAACCTATTATAGTTATAAAAGCCAGAAGAAGAGATAGAAATATCTCAGTAAGTAGTACCTACTACTTATTACACAATCATATGACAATATTCAATTAACAGTAAATACTAAATAACAATAAAATATATTATAATTACTAATTAGGTATTTTTTTTTTTTTTTTAATATATATAAGAACAATTATGTGGGATTCATATACCCCACATTATAACTAGTTCTAGTAGAACCCTAGCATGAGGGTCTGATGAAGGTGGATCTTTATCACCCCCAGGGCTCATGACAATAGGTCTAGTACTGATTGTATACTGGAACATTAATCATTATCTAACATTGTGTATTACAATATTATTCTGATGTTAGTTCATGTATTACACTTCTGTCGTAGTTCATTGAATCTTGTGGAAATTTACCAACATTAAATGCCATATTTACTGCTTGACCAACACCTGTTGTAAATTAAGAAAATAAATAATATTTATTATTATTTCAATATATAGTATATTATGAGGGCATGACGCTTTCATACTTGATCCACATGCAACTACACGGTTTGCAAGACCACATTCAAATGCTTCTTTAGATTTTATATCTCTGCCAGTCAATAATAGATCCATAGTTCTAGAATAACCTACAGTTTTTAAAAGCCTCTTGAGAAATATTTTTGAATTTGAAATATTTAATTTTCTATCAATTGCCATGACAGCATTCTCTTCTACAATACGTAAATCACACCACAAACACAACTCAAAACCAACATTGTATGCAAATCCAGAAACAGCAGCTATGATTGGCTTTCGGCAATGTGATTTTAAAAAGTTCTTAAGGAAAAATAAACAATTTTTATATAAAATAAAATTAATAAACTAAATGTTTATTTATTATATAATATACTTGTGGTGCCTCAGACAGTTCACCAGGGTCGTATCCTGCACAGAATGATCCCCCTTCTCCATATAGAACAGCAATCGTTGATGAAGGGTCATTCTCAAAATTTGAAATAGCTTTTCTTAAATCATCTACAGTCGCCACATTTAATGTGTTTTTATCATCTGGTCTATTCAATGATATTAAAGTAATATGCTGGTGCTTGAATGTCTTAACATTTGAATAAACAATATTTTCTGAAATAACAAAATACATGACAAGCAATTTATAATAATCATTTATAAATTAAAGTATTTTTTTTATTAACAATACGGGAAATATTTATAATACTATAGGAATATCTACCATCTATCTATGGTAATTAAAGAATTGATGTCTCACTAATTGTTGCGTAAAAAATAGAGATAAATATCAAGATGAAAATCCTTGAGTAATATAAGTGAAGAAAGTAATTAGTAAGTGTTCATTTAGACAAAGTCTTGATCATTTATGTAGAAACTGACATCTTTCAGAAAATATGTAGAATGCAAAGATTTTTCACTATTTTAAGTTCAAAAAACCTTGTCTTGAGTAGGTACAGTACCTAAATGCATACATAATACATATATTATATATTATTATCTATGCTTAAACGCTGTATTACACATTTGACATTTCTAACATTCACTTGTATCAATAAAGATATGAATAACTGAATAAGATATTTAAAATCATACCATTAGATGTAAGAAAAGCTCCAGACGAAAATAATTTATTATATTTTATTGTTGGCTCAAATCGTAGGTAGTTCGTAGAACGGAGAAATAATTTGATTTGTTTAAAAAAAGCCATGCTTATAATATTCGAAATGGAAAATCGTTATCAGTTAATATTTTGTCAACATTATGTCATTATCAACTAGCAGCTGATTTAACCACAGATACACAGAATAACATTTATGTTATTCTGTGACAGATATATGAAATTTTTTATATAATCTGTGGTGATACTATCTTAAATCGTGGTATAAATTAACTATATAGATTTAACATTTTGATTAGATAATATTGTTATAACTAAATAGTAAATAGTAAATAGTAATTAAAATATTAAATACTAAATACTGAAATTGCTACCATTATTATTTTAAATTTTTGATTTTTTGAATTCTGGGTTTAATATATTTTAACACTATTATTTTCATATTAAATAATGTTCAACCAAATGAATGTCACATTATGTGGCAAATTTCAAAATATTTATATTCATTTAAATAGTCTTCTCTTTGGTATTAATTTGTAAATTATCTAATTAATTAAACAGATTGCAAAATAATTTACCATGAAAAAACCTACTTCTATACTAAAATTACTTCTATTACTTATAACGGGAAACGTTCAAAGTATGTAATATTTTGTATGCTTGTATAAATGAAATGTTACTATTAACTTAAAATTTACTATTTACTCTTTAGGTTCAATTCATAAGAACCTTGCGCATTTTGAAACTTTACATGCTTCAGAATTTTCTCATAACATAGTAAAACGTGGAGTCAATGATAGTCCACACCCATTAAACAAAGTAAAAGAAGTATCATTCACCACATTGGGAAGGTAATCTATTATAGTAAATAACTGTATGTTGAAATATGTAGTGTGCATGGAACATAAGTGTTCATAGACTTTCATTAAATGTGTCTTTGGGGTCTGGGACTTGAATTATAGGACCTTAAGTAACATTACAAGTAGTCCAGGCCCACTATTGATAAAAATATTCATTCAAGTATTTTTATAGAGATTTTCGATTAATATTAACTCCAAAAAAAGGGTTATTACATCATCAGTTTGAAGCCACAAGTATAGATGCTGAAGGAAATGAAACTCCAGTCGCAGTTGGTATGTTGGAATATTATAAATTATAATTACTATCTACTAACTTGTCAAACATATTTCTCATAACTATTTACTAAAACTAAGTATTTACTCTATATTATATTTGTATTATCTATATAAATTGTAATGTATATATTATTTTTTGAATTTGTCTGCATAATTTAGATCATGACCATTTTTATGATGGCCGGGTATTTGGAGAGAAAAGTTCACATGCTAGTGTACATTTAGATAAAGGTGTTATGACAGCTATAATTGATATTCCTGGTGAAACTTATCACATTGAAGTATATAAAACAGTTTAATTTACAGTCAGTAGTTGTTATTTTATTATTATTTTCATTTTAGCCATCTTGGAGACATATGGTTGACAAAGATAACAAAACAATGGTAACTTATAAGGCATCAGATGTACGATTAAGTTGGGAACATTCAGACCTAAATCAACATAAGCCATGTGCTTATGTAAAAGAGGATGCCGGTTTGTGTTGTAAACATGTTAATTTTTTATTTGATTAAACTAATATTATTAAGTTTTCAGAGGTGGAAACTGTTGATGACGACGATGATCACTTAAATTCCATTACTCGTTCTAAACGTGATGCCGATTCTTATGACTATATGATTACACCGACGAGAACGCGTTGCCCATTGCTTTTAGTAGCTGATTATAGATTTTTTAGAGAAATGGGTGGAGGTGATACAAAAACAACTATAAATTATTTAGTAAGTATTGATGTATGAAGTATTTCAACAAATTTTCTGTTTAATAAAAAAAATTGACCACCTTTTAATACAGAGTGCGGCATAATGGACTCCCACATTTCCGAGGTGAATAAAAAAAAAACTATACAAGTTATGGAAATTTTTTTTTTATTTATTAAAACAACATTAAATAAGGTTTTTTTAAAGTTATTTTTTAAAAATAATATCGTCTAAATGATTGCCTTGACGAGCAATGCACATATGGAGCCGTTCTCGAAAGTTTTCCATCACTCTCGCCAGCATATCGAGTGTAATCCCGGAGATTTCTTAACGGATGGCCTCTTTTAGTTCTTCAATGGTTCTAGGTCGATGTTTGAAAACTTCAGCTTTGAGGTATCCCCATAAGAAATAATCACATGGACTCAAATCAGGGGAGCGAGGACCGAGGAGGCCATGTTATGTTTTCCCTTAAGGCTCCAAATGTGCGTCAATCGAAAAGGCAATCATTTGTACAATATTATTTTTGAAAAATAACTTTAAAAAAAACCTTATTTAATGTAGTTTTAATAAATAAAAAAAAAATTTCCATATCTTGTATAGTTTTTTTTTAATTCACCTCGGAAATGTGGGAGTCCATTATGCCGCACCCTGTATTATGTACACTATATAGTGTCAACAAACACATACCGACTATTTTTCTCATTATTTGGAAAACACTTTGATTTATCCAAACAAAGTATTTTAATTTTAAACATACCTATAATCTCTATAAGTCATATCTAATGTACTAAAATCTATATATATATTTTAGATAAGTCTAATTGATCGTGTACACAAAATTTATAATGATACTCTATGGCTGGAACGTCAAGAATCTGATGGATTTCGCGGCATGGGTTTTGTTATTAAAAAAATAACAGTACATAGTGATCCAACTAAAGTGCGAAGTTCAGAAGATCATTATAACATGGTTCGAGAAAAATGGGATGTTCGATCTCTACTTGAGGTATTTCATTTCATATAAGATATCTTGTTATACTTAAAAAAATGAGTTACACACATTGTTACACCGTGTGTACAAATTTTATTTCTACTCGATTTTTAGCCTTTTAGACTTTTGCTATATTTCCATATCTTTCCTCAATGCAACTCCATACATACCTTTATCACCTCTGTACTCTTTTTCTTAAGCCTACTCTGCTTTTATCTATACTGAATCTTCTTTGATATATGTACCTATCTATAATTATTAATTTTACAATTGATGTATCATCTGTAATAATAAATAGGAGTTTTCTAAATCAAAAGATGTATCCAAGTATTGTTTAGCGCATCTGTTTACGCATCAAACTTTCAGATCAAAACGATCTTCAGTATTGGGTCTAGCATATATAGCCTCACCTAGAAGTTATGCAATTGGCGGCATATGTAGTCCTGGTGAATATTATTGTTTATCACATATTTTACCGATGGGAAAGGACTAAACGCACAAATTAATCTGATAAATCTTTAACTCATACTAATAAAATATTATTAAATGTTGTCTTGTTCTAATAATGTAAAGGTATTTATTATGTGTCATTATGTTGTAGGTGAAAATTAGATTATGCACTAATATGAACAAAAAAAAAAAAAAATTCAAGGATTTTTATAATATACATAACCATGTTAATTAATAATAACTAATAAAGCTATTTACATACATAGTTACATATTTTAACACTCAATTCGGTAACATTTCCTTCTAGCCATTAACAATATCTTATCACCAGACCCCCTTTATGTTGGTTTTTGTACTTATCAGTTTATCACTTGCTATAATTAACGGTGGGAGTGATATTTTATAGTTGCAGTGCTCGAATTGGAAATTAAAGGAACTCAATCCAACAATTTATAAACTGCATTCCAAGTGAAAAATTACTCAACGCAGGCCCGTGGGTCAATTCCTAATTTTTCAATACTACATTCACCTTGGTTACATAGTTTTAACTTTATTATATTCTAAATAGAATATATTTGACTATAATGTATGTAACATGTAAGAGAATATGGATTTATATTTTATATTCACCTTATTTTAGGAAATAATGTTGGTATAAAATTATAATTATCAGTGATAACATCTTAATAACTATAATTTGTGGTTCAGACGCATACCTATGTCAATTGTGAACACTAGTCCACAGATATTTGATAATACAATAGTTTGTAGGTACATAATAATATCTGCAAACTACTAAACTAGGCAAAGAACAAGCGTGATAAAATATAAACAAAGTATATAGTCTAAACCAGTGGTATTCAACCGGTGGGTCGCTACCCAATCTTGAGTCATGTAACCTTTAAAAATGGGTCTAAATTGGGTTAAAAAAAATATAAATTATGAATCCATTTACAGTAGTTAATATAATGACAGTTAAAATGTCTACTGACATAGAAAATCAATAAATTGAGCTTACTTGTGATCCCAAAGTTAAACAAATGTTTATTGAAACTGTTTTGGATATGTTTTGGGTACTCTTATGCACGGGAAATAACACAAAACTAGCAGCTTTTCTTTTTTTTATTTTGCCTTTTTGGCCTATAAGTTGACACGAGTCGTGAAAATATTGTTACAAAAACAGTGGATTGCGAGTCAAAAAGGTTGTACACTACCTACTAGTCTAAACCATAGAAAGGATGAAAAATATATTTTTTATTAAAAAATGTAATATTCATTTGGTCATCTTTGACTACAATATTTAGATCCACTTCAAATTTTAATAAAAATTATTTTGGGCATTAGTTTGTTCCGTCCCCCCGTCCAAGTGAAAGTAAATAGTTGGGGTACGCAAAGAAAAAATAAAAATAGTAGAGGAGCTCTGTCCCCTTGCGCACCTCCCCAATTCGAGCACTGATACTAACTAATAACTAATATCAAATTTGATAATAATTATTTATCTGAGTACAATAATAGATTAATTTGTTTGGTACTTTAATTTAATGCTTAACTGTTGAATTAATAAATATGCTTAGAATTTGCTAATTATTTTAATATGCATCTCTATTTTTGCCATATTTTAACTAAAATAAAAACTATATAATCTATTACTATTGCTTTGCTGGTGGCAGGTTTTTAGCCGTGAATATAGCCATAAAGACTTCTGTTTGGCCCATTTATTTACCGACTTAAAATTTGAAGGTGGTATTCTAGGACTTGCTTATGTCGGTTCTCCTAGACGTAATTCAGTTGGTGGAATTTGTACACCAGGTGATGGAGTCATTAATATTTAAAATATATTTTTCATAAAAATAAATTTTTATAATTGAATATTAAAATTTAACAGAGTATTTTAAAAATGGGTACACGTTATACCTTAATTCTGGCCTAAGTTCAAGCCGTAATCATTATGGTCAACGAGTAATAACACGAGAAGCAGATTTAGTTACTGCTCATGAATTTGGTCACAATTGGGGATCTGAACATGATCCAGATATAACTGAATGTAGTCCTACAGCTAGCCAGGGAGGATCTTTTCTTATGTATACATATAGTGTCAGTGGATACGATATTAATAACAAAGTAAGTTTAAATAAAAAAAAATATTAAACCATATAAATTGATCTACATCTGTTGTACATTTTTAATTTTCTCAGAGATTCTCTCCATGTAGTTTACGGTCTATACGTAAAGTATTACAAGCCAAATCAGCTCGTTGTTTTTCTGAACCAGAGGAATCATTTTGTGGTAATCTTAGAGTTGAAGGAAATGAAGAATGTGATGCTGGTCTATTAGGTACTGAAGATAATGATTCATGTTGTGACAAAAACTGTAAACTCAGAAGGGCTCAAGGTGCTCGATGCAGGTACTGAAATACATATTATAATATACTATGCAGTAATTTAAATGTTTGTCTTTTAATTTTGTGGTTTAGTGATAAAAACTCGCCTTGTTGTCAAAATTGTCAATTTATGGCATCTGGAGTGAAATGCCGTGAAGGGCAATTTGCCACTTGTGAGCAAGAATCTCGTTGTACAGGTACTGGAGCTGAATGTCCTAAAAGTCCACCTATGCCTGATGGTACTGGGTGCCTTGAAAGAGGTAAATGTCGGTCTGGTAAATGTATACCTTTTTGTGAGACACAAGGATTACAAAGTTGCATGTGTGATACTAGTAAGTTAAACAATTATTTATGGTTGATTTCAGATATGCAATTTCTAAAATATTATTAATTTAATCTTAATACAACTTTTAATCATAATTAGAAACCAAAATTATATGCACTTTCATATTCATACTGAGTGTATTCACAATAATTATGTGGGTCCAAAAACGGTGCATTTAAAATCAAATTGATTTCATAGAAGACAAATTATTTTATATATTGATGCATATTTGAGGGGTTAAAGCATATTTTGTTATTAAAGTATATGATTTGTTTAATATACATTATTGTATACACTTTTTAATCTTTCCTTGGTCTTTTTTAAAATAAACGAAAGTTAATATTATGTTGAACAACAATTAATTTTAAATAATCATAGAAATCTTTTTAATAATTAAAATTTAATGTTTTTTTTGAATAATTAAAAACTAATACAATATATTATAGGTACTGTAGAATGGGGTAATTTTGATACCCATATATTTTTATTCACCAGAGTACCATGATGTTTTAATTTTTTTTTCATAAAATGGGGTTACTTTGATATCATATTAAGAAATATAGGTATCAAAGTTGCCCACTACGTTGTGTAACTTTGATAGCATATTAAAAAAGATTGATATCTCAAAAGATAACATCAGAAATTTAAAACTTTAAAATATTGATCATAACTAGCTGTAACTAATATTTAATTTTGAGAGTTTTATCGTTAATACTACAGAAGATATCCATAAAATAAAAAGTAAAATTGTCATAAAACAGTAAAAAATTATCAAAGTTACCCCATTTTACTGTATATAATTTTTTGATTAAAATTCTAAAAATGTTTAATCAATTCAAATGTGATTTACATAAGTTTATTTTATTTTATTATAAAGATAATTTGACAATACAGTCTACTAATAAATAGGTATTCGGTATTGATGTAGCTTTTTTTTTTTTTTTTTATTTGGCATAAACAATCCATACTATTTGAAGCACAATAAGTTTATATGATAAGAGTAATAGAACATGATTGTTTTGAATAAGCAGCCACCCATTAGTGGTTCTTGGCTAATGATAATTTTTTTTTTTTAATTGTTTATATTATTATTATTCAGAGAGTTAGACATTAAAGGGTTTCCTGGGAGTGTAAGGATAGAAAGGTCTTTTATAAGAGGATTTGTATGGGTTTGAAGTCGTTTATGGAAACGTGTATAGAAAATGCGTGCTTCCGCTTCTATTGTTCTCATACAGAAATCATTATGAAGGGCTAGATTAGAGATATAGGGGGGAGCATTAGACAATCGTCGGAGCGAAATATTTTGGAATGTTTGGATTCTGTTGATATTTGATTTTTTTGCCGCACCCCATAATTGTAGTCCATAAATTCACATTGGCTTGAGAAGAGATTTGTAGATTAGTAGTTTGATGTTAAGGGGGGAACACTTATTTCTAATTAACATGGGTCTGAGAATACGCTTGCGATTATTTAAGGATAGCCTTTTGGATTGAAGGTGGTTTTCCACGTCAGTCTTTTGTCAAGGATTAGCCCTAAGTATCTGACCGTGTCGGATGTGGGAATTGGTATGTTGTTAAGGGTAATGTTTGGGCATATTCCTTGTTTGAGCGTGAACGTTGTGTGTACCGATTTATTTTGGTTAATTTGGACACGCCATTTTTCATACCACTCAGACAAGTGATTGAGATGCATTTGTAAGTTTGATGATGCAATTACAGGATCTTCATTGATAGATAAAATGACTTTATCATCGGCATAATCAGCTACGATAGTTTGTCACATGGTGGGTTGGTCAGTTACGTAAATGTTAAAGAGAAAGGGGGAGAGTATTCCACCTTGTGGTACACCAGCTTTGATTGGTGCGATTCCGGACGTCGACGAGTTATATTGAACTTGAAAGTGTCTATCAGTTAGATAAGATTTAATTAGTAGAATTAATTACGAGGGGAGAAATTTTTTAAATTTGAATGCAAGCCTTCGTGCCGAACCCGGTCGAAGGCTTGGGCAACGTCTAGAAAAACACAAGAGCAGTAAAGTTTTTTTTCCAGAGACGCAGAAATAACATCGACAACACAATGAACTTGATCTATCGTACTATGTGCGTTGCGGAATGTAGCTTAAATTTAAAAAAAATATATTAACCTTTTTTTATTTTGGTTCGATATTCGTATATTTGCAACATACACATTTTAATGCATAAATACTGCATATTAAAATTTTTTTTTTTTTGTACAAATAGAAGCATATTTTTCCATTTTGATCATGCATATTTGCATCATATTAAGCCCCTTTTCAGTGCATATAATTCATTTCTCTAATCATAATTGTTTCTTATTTTCAGTATTACAATCATGCAAAAGATGTTGTCGTATAAATTTAAACGATACGTGTTATCCAGTTGATCCACCTGATGTATTGCCGGATGGAACGCCATGCATTCAAGGATTTTGTAACAAAGTACTGTTATAATGTTTATTTTATATTTAAAAAAAAAAGAAATATATTGATTATGTTGGTTTGTAATAGGGTGCATGCGAGAAAACTATTCAAGATGTTGTAGAACGTTTTTGGGATATCATTGAAGAAATCAACATTAATAAGATGTTGAGATTCTTAAAGGATAACATTGTAGGCACAGTGATTTTGGTTACTGGTTTGATATGGGTACCAGCGTCTTGTATTATTAACTGGTTAGATCATAAACGTGCAAAAGAAGTCAGCGAAAGAAGAAAATGGGAAGATCAGGATGATTTTGTACAAATGTCCAATGACGCAAGACCCAAAAAAATAATTTACATAAAAGTGCCAACTAGTCAAATGGAAATTCTAATGACGAATAAATAAGATACTTAAATCAACATATTATATATTATGTTATAAGCCAATATTTTATTGAATACTCCCGGATCTCTATGATTAAAAGCAAAAAAATAGTTTGTTTTAATTCTATTTAGTTAACTTTTATTTTTTTACTTTTTCAAATATTATAATAAAATCCTTCCTTTTTAACACTTTTCTTAAGTTTGGTTACACGTCTGTCTGTGATCAAATCTTGCGCGCTCGATTTGAGGCACTTTTTGAAGATGAAAAATTCTGAAAATTTGTATAGACCTTGGTCTTGGATGACAATACAATAATCCGTAAAAAAATTTTTTTTAACTAAAAAGTAGAAAATAAAAAATTAAAAAATTATTTTTTAAAAACACACTTTTCTAAAAAAACAAAAAAATAATGAAAAATTTAAAAGTGTGTGGCGCTCTTAAACTTGACATATTATACCACACACTTTTAAATTTTTCATTATTTTTTTGTTTTTTTAGAAAAGTGTGTTTTTAAAAAATAATTTTTTAATTTTTTATTTAAACTAGTCACAATATTATAATTAAGGTGTATAAAAATAGATAAGAAATTCACAATTAATTTTAATTATTACATATTGGTATTTCAATAAATCAATTTGTTTTATTATACAAATATATTGTACTCGGTATATGTAAATCAATAGACACAATTTCCAGCTTCTATAATTATAATTTTCAAAATCGGGATTTGATCCGATCTACAAAATGTTCTCTACTTTTAGATAAAAAAAAATTAACGAAATCCGACAATTCTACAGGGCATGAGAGTTTTTCCTGTATAAGACATGTTTTTATATCAAAAAACGCACCGGCTCCTAGGAAGGAGCTTATGAACATTCAAATTTGGACGAAATTACAAATTTAAAGGAAGAATAACGATTTTAGTTATTTTGTTGCTATTTATAAATATTATGCATGGGTGTAATACACCTAACCTAACCTATACCATATATTTTATTATTATTTTTTTTTAAATAAATATTATTATATTGTATGGTAAATGGACATATTTTGTAGCTTTTGTTCATTTTAAAACTGTACCTGTTTGTATATTTTACTAGCTGATCCCGTGCACTTCGTCGCCCGTTAAATGGATCAACTCAATACTACCTACTCAAACTTTGTTCAATTCATTAACGTGTATGGTGTTCAAAATTTATCTTATCTTTCCCGTTGCCCTGAATAAAAATTCTGAATCGCAGCAGTACATTATCAGGTAGGCAATCTACCTGCGGTAGATCGCGGACCCCGTGCTGTTTGTACGGAAGTGTATGATTTAACTCTAAAGTATCAAAGTTATACCAAGTTTATTTTGATGTAATACTGTGGATTAATATAATAAATTTGGTTGCTCGTAAAAAATCGCAACTCTTAAAAAAATTATGATTGTTGAACTCCTTTTGGGTGTAATTTTCTGCGGTAAGTGCAACTCTGCCACCCTGGTAAGCATTGTTCAATAATTCGATTTGATGCAAGCTTGTACCTGATCTGCCCGAATAACCAATGGCAACCAATAAATAAATGCTAATTTCTAATGTAGACTGTAACCAATGGCAACTATAAATAAATAAAAATAAAATTTCCAATTTCTATCGTGAATCTCAATGTCCCTGTTTCAGCACCTATTTAAAATGCGAATTTTGGCAAATCCTTTCTTAGCGCACGTCTATATTATAATAGCTATCTGTATGCCAAATTTCAGCCAGATCCGTCCAATGGTTTGAGCTGTGCGTTGATAGCAGTCAATCAGCTTACTGTTTTTTATATACAGATATGGTTGCCATGGTAATATGGACGGACACACACACACACACACACACACTGACATACATTCATTTTAGATTCTGAGCGGAGCGATGAATGTATTGGTTTTACAATGATGTATGTTTTTATATTTTTATATTTTTATTTATATTTTTATTTATATTTTTATTTATATTTTTATTTATATTTTTGTGTCTGTCATCACGTTTTGGGACAGTAAAAGTGCTTCGATTTTCTTCAATAGTACCTTTTCTGATAGGAAAGTGAATCTAGTTGGTACTTTGGGGGGTCAAAAGTAAACATTTTCCAGTAGTTTTCACAAGCGCCGGGAAAAACAACATAAAAATTAAGGAAAAACGGGAATTTTTACGCAAAATCGATTTTCCAAAAAATCGAATTTGGTTATTGGTGTAACTTTAAAACAAATGACCGTAGATACATGAAATTTTCACTGGTTGTTTATATTTGCATTTTCTATACACGATAACATTTTCAAAATATTTTGATTTATTTTGAACTGTTTAGGGACATTTTCATTTTTCATTTTTTTTTAGTTTTTTTTCTAGAAATATCAATAAAATTTTATTTGTTGGTTGCGAAAGCTTGAAAATTTAATAGAAGGCTCCTAATATGTTGTTTCAAAGGCAGATGAAAAATATTAAAAATCCTTAGTCACAATTTTTTTTATAAGCATTTAAAGTTCAAAAATTGACAAAATATGGAAAAATCACGAAAATTAGCAAATTATTTTGAGTTAAGAATTCGTAAAAATTTTTCTTTTTAAATCTAAGATTTGAAAATGAAACACAAGATTCCTTATAAGATTATCTACCTTTATCAATAAAAAAATCTCTACCGGAAAGTCAAATTAAATTTTTATGAGCGTTTGAAATTCAAATTTTTACAACATTGGATTTTCACTCGATTTCTCATGTAGCGATTTCCTTATTTTGTTGTAATTCAAAAACGAATAACTGTAGATACATGAAAATTTCACTGAATGTTTATATTAGCATTTCCTATACACCATACAATTTTGAAAATATTTTGACTCTTTTTGAGCTGTTTATGGACATTTACAGCTTTCAATTTTTTTTAGTTTTTTTTTCTATAAATATCAATAAAGTTTTATCTGTTGGGCCAAAAAGTGTAAAAATTTAATACAAGGCTCCTGATATATTGTTACAATATCAGTTGAAAAATATTAAAAATACATATCCACGATTTTTTTTTATAAGCATTTAAAGTTGGAATTTTGACAAAATTTATCAAAATCTCAAAAATTATCAATCGTTGGAATTAAAAAATTATATATGTTCAGTTTTTATAACTAAGAGTTGAAAATTTAAAACAAAGATTCTCTTAAATAATTCATACTGTAACCAAAAAATCTAAAAAATATATAAACACACTTATTTTTTACAGACATTTTAATTTCAAATTTAGACAAAATTTCATATTTAAACCAAGAATTACGATTTTAGTTATTTTGTTGTGATTGAATAATATTATTCGTGGGTACTTGAAACTTCTAAAGTGTACAATTATATATCTATGACAGTATCACGGTTTTTGTTGATGTATAACGCGTTATAACTGTTATAAGTATCTAATGGATATTGTGATATGATTAATTTGGAATTTATTATAGGTCAATTTTTTGTTTAATACCATAGATATGTATATAATATGTCTTATACATAGACTGACATACCGTCACCGCTCAGAATCGTTTTTCTTATACAATGATATTATATCATTGAATTCAAATTTAATACCATCCATTATACAGTGACCCACTTGTAACCTACTGTACAGCAGAGCGACACCCACTTGCCCACCTTTTTTATATATATAGATTGATATGAAATCTTGGTAACCTTAGTAACCATGGCAACCTTGGTAACCATGGTAACATGGACACACAGACACACTGACACACTGACATACATTCATTTTTATATATATAGATAATTAAATAATTGCTTTTGAATTTTATTTAAGGAGTTCAGTTGATCAAAAATATACATTTATAATTTATTATACTTATGAAAATATTTGAAAATATTAGACAATAGGCAAAATAATAATTTCATATTAAATAATAGAATAATATTATTAAATATTAGACTTTGAACAAAATGGTGGAAAAATGTATGCATAAAAAATATATTGGGGGAGGAAATGTCCATGATTCATATTCAGTCATTCAGTCATTGAAGTTTTTAGAGGCACATCTCTTTCAAAGAAGGATATATGTTTGCACCGCTAACAAAGCGTAGGGCTTGCCAAGTGCAGGAAACCTTATAAATGGCATATGTGCCTAAAGTGAAAGATATTTAGGTCAATTTAACTGTTTCCATTGTGGTATGAACTTAATTTCGTTAAAAATTACTGAGTTGGATAGATTATAGGAACCTTGGTTGATTGGGAGTGGTTGAATGTCATCCATAAGTCAATTCAGCCTGGCCAATATAAAACTTTTGAACAATAATTTTTACTGCTCCAAACTATTTTTTCAAAGTTCCATACCCTTAACATATAGTTGTTTCTATGCAAAATTAATTTACATAAAATGTAGTTTTATTAATCGACGAAAATGAATAGGTACCGAAAAAAGCATATACCTATGTACTATATTACTATAATATGCAACTTTATTAATACATAATTTATATAATATAGAAAAATTATATTTTTTCAAATAAGAGGATGTTTTTAGTATATCTAGCCCGGTCCAGACCAAGAAACATTTGTAGGGACATATGGTTTCTGACATTGTGGTCGACAAATATTTATGTTACCGCTTTTATGAGCAGAAATCGCAAACATTGTCGATGACAATGTTGGAAACACTTGTTTCGGACAAAATTTTCTTTGGTGTGGACGGGGCTTAACAATGGTTAAAATTATTATAATTATAGACAAATATATATAATATAAATCATATCAGTGCAAATAGTGCAATGGACAAAGGTAAAGTGCAAGTATATAATAAAAAATAACAATGTTTATTGTTTATGTATAATTTGAATGTAGGTTAACTACGCGGCAACGTGATTGAACCTTCGTCGGGTATATTCAGACAATGAGTAGGTACTTGGTTTGTTTTCAGCTAAAAATAAAAAAAATTGACTTAAATCAGTTTTTTTTATATAGGATATAATTATAGAAACAATAATATTAAAAATACTTTAGGAATACTTGAATTAAATATAA